GCTCCGCCGTCACACGTCTCTTCAGTCCGCTAGCTCCACAGCAACTCCCGCCACGTACACACACGAGGCACAGCGCGCGCAAACCGCTCAAGGTCACCTAAGCAGCCCACTGCGCATGCTCAGCAAGTATGGCACGCCTCAGCGCTATGACGCGCGAAAGCTACAAGCACTCAGGCCAATTTCGTTACAATATGAATAATTAAATAGCCATAATTCCAAAACCCTTTGACCTATAGTCATGAAATTTCTTGGGCATGTTTAGAAAGAGTTGCGCAATGCATGTGCTGAGTTTCACAAATTTTCGCCACTCGATGGCCGAGATCTAAGGGAGGGGGCGGAATCTCCCCCCCCCCCCCCCGGCTGAGAGATGGTCAAAATAACCCGGCCCCTTTCTTTCTAGCAACTTTCAGGAAATTTCATTTTTTGGCCAAAATTGAAAAAAATGCAAGGGGTAAGCCTTACATTTTTAGTCGAAATCGGCCAAAAATTGACTTTTCTCAAAACAAGGCAGAAATTCATCCAGATGCAAGAGGAACATCAATCAATATTCTGACACACATAATTTTGAAGATTTGGGCAAACCTGGAACTTTTGTCTAATTTTATTAACTGTTTCTGTTTAAAAACACAGACAAGATTGTCCCCACAATTTCTTTTTACATGCACGCATTGTCGTTTATTGAGACACTCTATAGAAGAAAAACATACCACGGCTAATGTAAATGCACACGGGTTAGTTAAAGGGAATATACATCATTTGCTTTTGCTGTAATTTTCAGAAATGGATGGAATTGGGGGTTGGAAATATATAGCAAATATAGTTACACTGACTTTTTTGAGGTTTTGGGTTCGAAAATGCTATAAAAACCAAGAAAACAATCATTTTCCTGTAGTCCGGTTCCCTGACTCCTTATAAGAAGAAACAGAGCAGTTTATTGGGGGAATTGTAAGGTCAGGGAACCAGTCTAGCTGGCTTGTACCCGTTCATAGGTGTGTAATCGATTGCAAACAAGTGCGATGGTCAATTGGGGCCAGTAAAAGCAAGTTTTTTCCAACGCTGGTCGGCCGACCAGCGTTGGAAATTGATACAAAAATACCACTTTTCTTGAAAATGACAGTATACCAGGTGCCATGATTTTACAGGATGCTTTACACTGTCATTCACTAACAGTCCAGCAAGGTATTTCAAAATGATTTGGTAGTTTTATTTTTTGATGTTTGCAAATGTTGTATTTTCCCTTTAAGAGTCTGTTTCTGTGCCTGGCTGGCTAGTGAAAAAAAAAACATTTAGGTCGAACCCGGTCAATGTGGGATAACGATTATTTCCATACTACATAATATATCACACACACAAAACACATAAGAATTGAATCACAGGTCGTACTACATTTATACTTGTACAGCAGTAATATACAAAGTTTACAAACATAATTAAATAAAAAGTACGCCGGGAAAAAAATCAGGAAAGAGTTGCTAGCTTAAAGCTGGTAAATCTATAGTTCAACTAATACACATTGTTTCAAAAAAGTCTGCTTCTCAAGGATATGGGAGTATTAGATTAAGTCATTTTGGATCATGCACAAGTGAATGGACATTTTAGAAGGAAATATACTTGATATGTCATGCAAGGGCGGATCCGGGGGGGCCAAAGGGGGCCATGCTCCCCCCCCCCCCCAAAAAAAAAACGATACCAATTTTTGTTAATTTTTATGTGACATCGCAATAAAGGGAGGCAATGAGTACACCACCATCTTTTCCTCAAAAAAACATTGGTTAAAGTGGTCAGAAATTGCCTCAGATCGCACCACAGAGCATCTAGAATCCAAACATTTTTCGGGGCCCTTGAGCGGGCCCCGACCCCACGCCGTAATTTTTTTGACCCACTTTTTTGGGGGACCAAAATTTGTTTTTGCCCCCCCCCCCCAAATTGTTTTCTTGATCTTATCAAGTAGAAAATGCATCAAAGTTACAAAATCATGATAGACATATATTAAAATAGATATATATACACAACCAACAATCAGGAAGCAGTAAATATAACAAAAGCCAGAGAACTTCCAGATGGAAAACATTTAAAATCGTTCTTTTTTTCCACTTTATTTAATGAAATGTACATGAATTAATTCAATTGAGCAGTATATGATTTCATCTACTGTTTAGTTTTAGGAAAGGAGTATTAATAACGTTATGAAAACCTATACAATTAAAAGAGTAAATTGATGTTGTGCCATTATACCCTGAAAAACCCAACCAATTTAACCCTAAAGGGGCCGGGGGCGGAATCCGCCCCCCCCCCCCCTTCGACTTTTTCCGCGATAGCCTTTAAAAAAAAAAATTCGCGACCCCAGCTTTTATGACTTTTTAGCCTTGAGCCTTGTGCATCTTTTGACACCAAAAACATAAAAATCGGACGAGGGGTTGTCGCGCAGCAAATTTTTTTTCCGGTGAAAACTGAATTTTCCCATATAAGTCGTGTACACAGACCAGAATTGCCATTCATACGTATGAATAATTAATTAGCCATAATTCCAAAACCCTTTGACCTTTGGTCATGACATTTCTTGGGTATGTTCATGAAGAGTTGCTCTATGCATGTACCGAGTTTCAAAATTGTTCGTCACTCGATGGCTGAGAACTTAGGGGGGGGGGGCAGAATTCCCCCCCCCCCCCCCCCAGCTCAGAGATGGTCAAAAAAACCCGGCCCGGGCCCCTTTAGGGTTAATGCAAAAACCTTGCTCAACTGGGTTAAGATAGGACTATCAAAAACCCTGTAAAATGATTCCGCCTGAAATGGTATCGTTCAGTAGAAAACAATCAGAGGTGGTTAAAAAGTGTGCCTTCTGTTACGTGCATTGGCAACGGAATCCAGTAATAAAATCTCAAAAATTCTGCATATGTTTTCTGTTTTCTCAAAATGTTTAACCTTGCGCAGCGTTTACAAAAAAACTTTACAACAACTCGTCAACTGCTGCCCTCTGGGCAGCAGGTACTTTCCCGCACTACGCAAGACCCTATTCATAGCAATGCAACAAAAAGCCACGTGCCAGACAGTGTCCAGACAGTTGCCAGACAGTGCGCTGGAAAGATAATTGACTGACGGCTGTGGTATGCAGTTATGAAGGGAGATGACTGTGTCAAGTTACAGGTCTTTGTTGATGTTTCAATGAGACTTGGCAGGAGGCGTGGTCGAAAGTTTGTTGACACGGCCTGGGTGTAGCCTTGGCTGCAAAGTTCATTGAACCAGCTTATTTGGCAAGGGTCGAATGAGGATTAAATGGAAGGTGACCGTCATTAGCCCTCAATTTTTTATTTTTTTTTCAAAAATTTCAGTTACCTGGGGCCCAAAGGGCAACAGGTCACTCTGCGCAAGGATAATGGCCAATGAACTCAAACTTCAACAGTTGTTATGCATCCTAAGATTTTGAGCAAGGTTGTTGCTTTAAACAAAAAAGACAACAAAAAATGCACAAAAAGCAAACGATCCTACGTACCTTTCAATTTTATTCCAGAATTGGGAATTATTGTTTCTGCACCACTAGAACTTTGTTTAACTTGCGTATATCTCTTCGTCACTCCAAAACTATTATATAATATTGGATCGCTATGAGGGCGATATACAAGGCTATATTGCACAAGCTATAATAATATTGCACGGGTTGAAGACGAGTGCATTGTTATATTGAGTGCAATATATTCTTGCATTCCCCCCCCCCCCCCCCCCCGAAAAAAAGCCATCCAATATTATTATTAGTATTTATATTAGGCTGACTTGATCCGCTAGAAATACATTTCAGGACGCTAGTATTATTCTCCGCATACCGAAGCAAATTTCGCGCTGCTTGAAACTGCCATTGCGGTTGTGCTGTGGGGTGCTGTGGTTGTGCCGTGGGGTGCTGTGGTCCATGGTTACAGTGTTCGACTCGTGTGCCGTGGTACACGGGTTCGAATCCTGACCGTGGGAACATGGTGCTTGTGCTCTTGAGCAAGGCACTTTACCACTATAGCTTCGTCCTTCGGATGGGACGTAAAGCCGTAGGTCCCGTGTGTTGTGTAATGCACGTTAAAGAACCCAGTAACACTTATCGCTAAGAGAAGGGGTTTTTCCCGGTGTTTCTGGCAGTGGCCGCAGCACCTTGCCACACCTCCAGTTTAAATTCCCTAGATGGAATATTTCGTAGGACCACCAACCAAGTACCAAGTTGACAACAGTGCGCGTATACCCTGCTGCTAGTGCTGCGCGCTGCGTCCGCATGCAGTCGCGACGGTACTGCACACTACGCTCTGTTGACTGGTTGACAACTGTAAAGTTTCTACGCTCTAGATTGTGCAGGCACCATTGAAAATGCCACCCGATTTCATCAAACTCTTCGTAACTTACGATGCATCGCAGTGATGCGACGCGTCGTATCTCTACGATGCGTCGCAGCTGCGACGCGTCCTGCGATCCATTTCACAAAACACATCGTAAGTGTGACGCATCGTAGGTGTATTTATAGCGCAACTTGGTGACTGTTTTATGTATTTAGTCAGCGTACAGTAAATAGTCGTCTGATATTCAACAAAGAGTCGTCGGATCTCAGCTCGAAATTTGTTCAAACGTATAACAAAATGGCGGCCGTGCGATGCAATTTTGAAGGAAAACAAACTCTCATTGGACTGTATAGCTACTTTGAAATTTCAATTCTAATATTCCGGTCTAAGTCATAATTTTTCAATGAATTTTCTATTTACAACTTTACACACATTGCCTCGGTATTATAATCGGTATTAATGTAATGTTTATGGCATAAAACTGGCTTAGAAATGACTCTTCTTATTTTGCGATGACCACAAGACACGTCTTAACTTGCGGCGTGTTTTACGCTGTTGTCAAGGAACTTACGACATCGCAACTTTCTTGAAATGGAACATACGACGCGTCGCGAGTTGCAACGTGTTACACGTCGTAACTCGAGTTGCGACGCGTCGCAGCGCTTCGTGAAATCGGGTGCAGCTGGATGACTATCAAAAATAAAACTGCAGTCATCTGGGTACTTTTTACGAAAGCATACAATACGCTGATTTATTTTTACCATTGGGAGCCTGATATAAATAATAACATTTTATATACATGCTTAAATTTCAAGGGGGAAGGTGTTGTACAACAGACCTTTTTTCATCATCGATCCCTTACTGTTTACAAAATTTGTCTATTTTAGAGAAACCCTCTGCAAAGCTACGAGCTTGACTGATTCATGGCAAAAAAAACAGCCGGGCTGCCCAACTTTTCACAGTGGCTTGGCTTGGAGATCGCGGACGCATTTGTAGGTAGCCTTCTGGAGCGATAGGAACCTGGGATCGTTGCCGAAGCCGTAGGGGCTGAAGTGGCTGGAGACGTAGGCGATACCCAGCTTGTATTGGGGATCAGCTACGCACTGCTGGCCTCCCGCACCATGGTGACCAAACTGACGACTACCCTGTAAAATATAGACAATTGTTTTTAAACAAGGACGTTTAAGACCGGCTTTGGGAACTGGACGCTAATAATGGCCCGAACAGAAGGCGAGGGACATTATCGGTGACCAGGTCCCAAACCGGACTGTAACATACTTGTTTAATATCGGCTAGGCCCATATTTATTCCCATTCATCATGTTCATGAATACCTTTTCGGTGAAAAGGTCAAAACAAGTCCAAAAATATCAATTTCCAACGATTTTGTTCAAAAATTTTACTTCATGTTTTTTTTTAAAACACCAGTCTAGATATGTCTAGGTATGTGCCTCTTGCGAGTACTCGTTAACATCTCCTTATATGGAGACTGGCGCACGCATGGCGCGTGCATGGCACAGAACGGGGCTGTGCCGGTGTATGTGATAGAGGACTCTCTCAAAATACGGACTCATTGGTAGTACTGTGCATGCCTAAGTGAGGATTGTGAATGTTCAACCAATAAAAGGGTAAAAAGGACCATAACTTATCAGAGTCCAAATTTCATGTGATACCAATTAGCCGGTGTTTTATCAACAGGATTTCTGCTTTTCATGCACCATTCACAAAGATTAAAAAAATATTAGATGGTTTCATTACATTGTACTTGATAAATACAAATATTACATGGGCTGTTAAATTTATGAAAATCCGCCTATGTTTAAAACATAGGCATGCTCCAGAAGTCGTTTAGTCAAGGATACTAATTGTTCCCTGTTGGTGTTAATTAACTCCCCCGATTACAGGCTCTGGCAAATACTCGAATATAAGCTCCATACTTGGGTATTCTGGTATAAGAGGATCCCCGGCATGAATAACAGATTAGAGAATGGCATGTTACATGCCTACATTTAACAGCAAGACTTGTTTTTTACCTCACAATCGAACAATGCGTATCCATTGGAAAAATTGGTTTCAATGGCGACGACCTTGTCGAGGGAAGGCGGCCCGGCCTCGGCCAAGATGTCCTCCACCAGCTTCTTGGACAGTAACCTTTGACCTTGTAGCGGCTGCCCTCCGTTGGCGAGGATCCCATAAACCTTTGCAGCCGCCCTTGCCGTTCCGATGCCAGAGGAGGAGGGGTTCTCAAGTGCTCTCGCCTGTGGCTTGATCATTTTTCTGATCTTCAGACAGAAAACAAAAAAAAGACCACTTTTTGAATTAATTTTTTTTGGTATTACAATTTATACCATCATCTGGTTATAGCTGAGACGGTATGATTACTTAAAGCTAGAGTCCATCATTTGCAGCTAACCGAAAAAGTAACTGGCGTAATTATTGTTGAAAAACATACTTGGTTGAAAGATAGTAAGGGGACTAAACTCCCTGTGAAATTATTCTTTCTGGCAAGCTACCATTTTTAAGTAATCAACGAAAGAAGGCCTTAATTCCAACGGTGTTTCTTAAGACGCATCGTAGGAAATTTGAATTAGTAGTTCGTTTTTCGGCGAAGCGCGCGCAAGCATTTGCACGACGCACATCCACGCGCGGTTGCTATAATTCATCGGATCAGTGCGCGACATCGCGTAGCTGCAATCGGCTCATTGAGCACGTGTCTCGGACGCTGAATTCAGGCCCAATTTAAAACATGATTCAGCAACTTTTGATTTAAAATTGAGATCCTAGAATGCTGTTTTTCTCGGAATATACAGCTGAAGCTGAGCTGAAACTTCATCAGGTTAGTTGTTCAGTATCCTTCTTTAGATTTTGAGCACTTTTGTTGCTTCAAACGAACAAAATGCACAAATTACAAATGATGGACTTACAAAATTACAAATGATGTCTTTAACTAAACCTTTGCTAACTTAGCTTAACCCTCCAGCATTGGCATCATCTCTGGCTCTGAATCTCATTTCAAATCCTCGTAAAGTCTGAACCAATGGTAGCCGTGAAAGCAAGGCTGGGTATGTGCTTGTTGAGCCTGCGCGCATACGGGCCCACCGGCGAAACCCCTACACGATCGTGAGCACGAAGCTCATAATGCATACTGTATATGCAACACGCACTGTCCCCATCTGAGAGTTCCAAGCCCCCTTGATCCAACTGTAACTTCCGGGTTTTGCAGTTATATTAATGAGAATGAGCTGCTTACGTACGAGTGAACGGGATCTGATTGGTGTCCTTGATTGGACACGCCATGCTGTTTAAATTTAGGGAATATACATCATTTGCTTTTGCTGTAATTTTCAGAAATGGATGGAATTTGGGGATTGGAAATATATAGCAAATATGCATGGGCGTCGCCAGGATTTTTTCTAGAGGGGGGCAAAAAAATTTTGCCAAAAAATGCTTGTATTTCTCAACACATTCTCGATTTATCAGTTTTAGAGGGGGGCAGGGACATTTTGCCCCCCCCCCCAACTCATTATATTTGCACCACTTTGTCTTCGCGCCTCTTTTTCTTTCTTTTTCTTTTCTTTTTTTTCTTCCCTTTTTTTTTTTTTTTTTTTTTTGCTTTTCCAGGGGGGGGGCAAGTGCCCCCCCTTGCCCCCCCCTCGCGACGCCCATGCAAATATAGTTACACTGACTTTTTTGAGGTTTAGGGTTGGAAAATGCTATAAAAACCAAGAAAAACAATCATTTTCCTGTAGTCTGGTCCCTGACTCCATATAAGAAGAAACAGAGCAGTTTACATACATTGGGGAATTGTAAGGTCAGGGAACCAGTCTAGCTGGCTTGTACCCGTTCATAGGTGTGTAATCGATTGCAAACAAGTGCGATGGTCAATTGGGGCCAGTATTCGAAAAAAAGCCAGTTTTTTCCAACGCTGGTCGGCCGACCAGCGTTGGAAATTGATACAAAAATACCACTGTTCTTGAAAATGACAGTATACCAGGTGCCATGATTTTACAGGATGCTTTACACTGTCATTCACTAACAGTCCAGCAAGGTATTTCAAAATGATTTGGTAGTTTTATTTTTTGATGTTTGCAAATGTTGTATTTTCTCTTTAAAAACATGGAGTGGGTCGTGTCAAGCGCACCCCGGCTTGGGTTACCAAACCAACAACCATTGATCTGTGGAGGTGTGGGTGGGGGTGGGGTGGGGATTGGAATGCCTCCCTTGGTCCCTGACTAAAGTGACAATGTGAACAGCCCAATTCAAGTTCAAAAATATACCACAGTGAGACTGACCAATTCAACTTTAAGAAAAATTCCAGCCGACAGACTGACCATGGCCATATCAGTGGCTTTCTGGATGACTTCGTGAATGAAGCTGCGACCCGTCACGAACGCCCAGATGAACAGCCAGGACACGACGTCTCGGGGGATGTAGCTCAAGCTGACGCTATAGGGAAAGTCCAGTATGCCCGTCAACCGTGCCACGCGGTAGTTCAACTCCAAGGGCAGACCGATGTGAATGTCAATATCTAAATTGAAAAAAAAATATTAATAAATAAAAAAATATAGTACCTGCAATAAATATAAGAAAGTTTAGAGGTCCAAACGTTCCCTTCTCGGGCCCCGCACACAGAAAAAGGCCAAAACTCAACATTTATGCTTGGCCACATGTGGTGCAGTGGTGGAGCACAGGATTCATGATCTTGAGGTTGTGGGTTCGAGCCCCGCTGTGGCCATGCGTGTTGTGCCCTTGAGTAAGGCGCTTCACCTCAATTACTCCTCTCAACTCAGGTGTTAAATGGGTACCGGCATTATTCAATGCTGGGAAGGTAACAGACTCGCTGTGGAGGAGGTGTGGCAATCCCCCCCCCCCCCCCCACAGCAGCATATGAGTCTGGCCCAGTCGCTAACGAAAGAGAGATGGGCACTCCGTTCCTGTTAACACAGGTTCGTCCCCTTTACTTTACGTTTATTTCTTTAACAGTGGCTAATGGGCCTTATGCACCAGTTGGCCACTTTTTATGGAGTACCCTGAATGTCTTTCATTGACCCTCCCATGCAAACATGCATTCTGAGCCATACTGTTACTTGGGTCAAAATTGGGCAAGTGACCATTGGTGTGTTAAAGGTATACCAGGCAAAGTGGAAGGAAACTTTGACTGTTTGTGACCTTTTAAACAGCAGGAGGGTGCATGGGATGGCGCCAGACTATTTATGGAGGCATAATGCAGCCTTATTTTACTGTCAATTTTTTTATTTTAATCTGGTTTTAAACACCAGGGAATGTTTAATTACAAATTTAAATTATTCATTGAAGTAGACGGGAATTAACTAGTAACTAACTTGCTTTCATTTCTCTTTGCAAGTTCCAAGAATTAAGATATTATCTCACTTTCAATTCAAAATGGCCAACTCGTGGATGGGGGGGGGGGGGGGGGGGGACACTTCCACCACAATGTGTAGCAACAGCATATTAAGCATACATGTATGTCTAGCCCATCACAGTTTTGACCTCTGCGCTTATCAGGAACATGAGATCTGCAGTTAAATACATCAGTGCAAAAAGTTTTCCCCCTCACACGTACCCCTTTATACTCCTGGGTGGAAAGAGGCAATCTTAGCACTAAAAGTGGGTATATAGTGGGTATATTTATAAAGCACACATTTCCACCAGTACTGGTGCTCAAGGCGCTACATCATTATTACCCCTGCTCAGTGGGCTAATGAAACACTCCAAATACCATCTCAGCTCCCTGGGGAGTATACAGCTCGATGCTGCCATTTTGACGCAAAGCAGCTAATTAAATCACAATAACCATCTCTGCCCTCACAGGTACCCATTGACTCCTGGATGGAGAGAAGCAATGAGTATGGCAAAGTGCCTTGCTGAAGGGCACATGCACCATGACCCCAGGCTGGACTTGAACCCACAACCTGCAGCTTTACACACAGACCGCGAATCCGATGCCCTTAACCACAAGGCCACTACACGAGTAAAGTGACTTGCTCAAGAACACACACACATGTTCAAATCGAGATTCAATTCGGGCGAATCACAATGCAGAGCGCCACCAAGAGTTTGCCTTGGAGAGTCCATATTTCTAGTTTACAGTCGACAAAAAAACATGGCCCATTTGAATGAGTGTCAGTAGACAACTTGAACTAATTTGTTATAATTAGGGGCATAGCGTTCTGCCGCCTCACAAAAAAAAACTACATTGATAAAAAGAAAACCAAAGAGCAAACAGATACTTGAAGCATACCTTTGCGAAACTACTGACTGGAAAAACGAACAATTTCAAATGTCCCGCGCTGTGAATTTGTCGACCATCTCCCACAATGCACTGGGAAAAATGAACTCTTCGTGGCAAACTCGATCTTGGTGGCGCACTGCATTGTGAATCGCCCGAATTTCTCACAACACTACATGATCGAGTCGGACACAATGCACTAGGGCATACGCTCTCCAGCAGCGAAAAAAGAATACCTTACCAAAAGGTTCAGCAACTTCGTCTTTGAAGAATTGGCCCAGGGTCCTGCGCTGCGGATCGACGCGCATCAGCAGCTGACTGCAGTACAGACCAAAGGTGAAGGCGTGGTACCCGTGACCGGTCCCCGGCGGCCAGCAAGGCGGGGACTCGGCCAGGAGTCGGCCCAGAGCATCCTGGTCCTTCAGATCCTTGAAGCTGATTGGTTGGGCAGTCGCGGCCAGCCCTGCCTTAAAGATTCAAAACAGATAACAAACATCGAGTGTTAATATCTACAGTATGTCCTAGAAAAGTGTGATTCTGACTGTTTTGAAAAAACTACAAATGAAGTCAATTTTCAAAATCTTTGATTGTGCAGATACTCCTTTTCCTTGGCCTGAACCCCTATGAGTTTCATTTAATTTCAGTCACGCATCACTACACAATGGTCAATTGAGAACAACCACATTTTTGGACACTGTGACCAGGTTCCCTCCCTTAGTGAATGTCAATGCTGTTTTACGTAAGCTGTGTAAATGTCGTGAAAAAGAAGGACGTGGGTTTGAAATCATTTGCCTGGCTATCAGTCATCATGGCAAGACCTCAGCTTAATGTTCAAGGGCAAATGATTCAAATCCCAATTCCACATCAGCCTTTTCTTCACAACATGCAGGATTTTACACAGCTTACATAACACATACAGCACTAAAAATGTAGTAAAGTAACTTGCCAAGGGACACAAGTATTTTGCTCTCTATCTTTATACTCATGACATTTAGAAACGGTTTGCCATGCTTTAACCAGTTCACGTCGGATGACGTGTACGCAAGGCTTTTGTGGTATTTGGAATGGATGACGGACAAACATGCAACAAGCGAGGCTGGAAATATCTGTCAGCGACCCGCAGTGAGCGAAGCAGGAAATATCAGGGTGTGTGCCAACCGCAGATGACGACCTAAACCCGTCTGGCATCGAGGTTCTTGAAAAACAATCCCGTGTCTGGGTCAAAATAATCCCGGCGCAAACTGGTTAACCTATCAGAGTTTCTTGCTATCAGCCTTGTAATCTTAAAGGGAATATACAACATTTGCAAACATCACAAAATAAAACTACCAAGTTTTTACGAAATACCTTACTAGGATGTTGGTTAATGACAGTCTAAAGCATCCTGTAAAATTATGGCACTTGGTGTGAAGTCATTTTCAAGAAAATGGTATTTTTGTATACATTTCCAACGGTGGTCGGCCGACCACCGTTGGAAAAACCTAACTATTTTTCAACTACTGTTCCAACTTCACACTTTTATCAGTCCAAATTTTGTTTGCTATTGGTTACATGTTCATGAACGGATGCAGGCCAGCTAGACTGGTTCCCTTACCTTACAATTGTCCGGCATCTATAAATTGATCCATTTTATATTTAGTGGAGTCAAGGAACCAGACTACTTGAACATTTTTTTTTTCTTGGTTTTTCCAGCATTTTCGAACACAAAACTTCAAACATGTCAGTGTAACAATATTTGATCTATTATACTAACCCCTCAAAATAGTTCATTTCTGAAAATTACAGCAAAAGCCAATGATGTACATTCCCTTTAAATATGTGACAACAATGTTTTCAAATGTCTCACTTCGTGGTTGAGCAGCATTCGTACGGTGATCTTCTCCTTGCCACGTTGAGCAAATTCTGGCCAATAGAAGGCCACCGTCTGGTCAAAATCCAGCTGTCCTCTGTCAACGAGCATAGACATGCACAATGCAGCAATTCCTAGGATCAAAGCACAAAAATCTATACAAAAATCTGCTCAACCATTAAAACAACCAACAATTGATTGCGAAGATTAATTAACACATTGTGGAGAGTGCCATAATTGTTTTAGGGACGACTTAAATGAAATTTACAACATAGCACAAATGTGGAAATATACAATACACATTTCTGAAAAATTTCAGCAGTTTTGCTTCAAAGCTTCAATGGCAAAGAAAACAATACGGTACTTCTTAGGGGATCTCTTGAATGTTCTGTGCTACCACGCATACATTCCACCGAAAAATTGAATGTTATAGGGATACCATACAAGTGACAGAACCATTGAATGATCTGCCTTTTCTTTGTTTGTTTGTTTTTTTAAGCTAATGAATGTGCAGTCGAACACCTTTATAAGAAGGTCCTTGGGATTTTATGAACTACCTTGTTATAACAGGTTCCTTGTATTAAACAGTAATGGAAAGCAAAGGCGAAAACAAGAAACACAAAGACTTAATTGGGACCTAACATTTTGCTTGTAATAAGCAGGATCTTGTATTAACAGCGCTCTTCTTATCAGGGTTCGACTGTCATGAACACTATCACATTTGTGCACTGAGGATATATTTCCCATTTATCCCAAAATCAGTTTATAGAAAATGCTTATTGAATTGGATCAAAGATCATTATGCTACTAAACTCCCCTTGATATTATTCTGTCTGACCTGTTGTCATTTCAAAGGAATCAAGAAATGTAGGTGATTTCCAATAGGTCTCGTTCAAATGACGTCATTTCCAACAGACCTCCACAGACATCCACGTGCATCGGTATTTGAGCGTCAACTTGCACAACGCGCATCGGCTGCGTAGTATTTCGAACACATTTCGAGCAACAAGCGCGCGCGTTTGGAACATTTTCAACACTTGATTGATTGCGTAAAATGCGCAGTTGTAGTTCTCCTACAGAGATGGCCGTCACTGAACGAGCCCTATTGTCAGCTAATTGACTGATTTTTGGAAAGACTTGAAAGAAGGAGTACTATCGACAAAATGGTTTAAGTAATCAAAGTTTTTGCATGGGTTTTCAACTATCTTATCAAAAAGTGTACTATCCACTGAGCTGAAACTTCAACAGGCTAGGTTTTGAGCAATCTTCATTGAATTTTCAGAGGTATTATTACTGGAAACACAAAATATGCATCAAACGCAAATGATCCGACACTGACCCTTGGTTGCTGAAAATATCACAGTCATCGTGTCCTCCTCCCAAAGCTGTCTGACAGTCGTGTCGGCAAAGCCCCCCCACAGGTCCACGACCTTTGACCCTTTGTAGTACACGCTGAAGGCCGAGCCTCCTGTGCTTTGCTCAACTCCATTCTCAAAATTTTTCCTGCATGAAACCAAACAATTCTTTTCAAATTTCTAAAGGAACACATGATTGAGATCAATTTGAACTTGAAATATAACCATTCATATTTCAAGAGATGACGTGCACATGCAATGCAGAAGAGAACTGTTTGCTAAAAGTTGGCATCACGCAACGACAACATCCAACTTTGTAAACAAATGCACCATTTAAAGCTCTACAGTCCATCACTTGCAGCTATCCAAAAAAAACAACGGACTAATTATTGTTGAAAAAATACTTGGTTGAAAGATAGTAAGGGAACTAAACTCCCCGTGAAATTATTTCTTTCTGACATGCTGTAATTTTGAGAAAATCAACGAAAGAAGGCCTTTCCAACGGTGCTTCTTTAGACGCACCGTAGGAAACTTGAATTAGTAGTTCGTTTTGTTATTCGGCGAAGCGCGCGTAAGCATTTGCACGACGCACACGCACGCGCGGTTGCTATAATTTGTCAGATCAGTGCGGACATCGCGTAGCTGCAATCAGCTCAGTGAGAACGTGTCTCGGATGCTGAATTCAGGCCCACTTCAAAAAAAGATTAGCTACTTTGATTTGAAATCGAGATCCTTAAACGTTGTTTTTCTCAAAATATACAGCTGAAGCTTAGCTGAAACTTCATCAGGTTAGTTGTTCAGCACCCTTCTTTAGATTTTGAGCACTTTTGTTGCTTCAAACCAACAAAATGCACAAATTACAAATGATGGACTGTACTTTTAAAGGCCTATGATGAGAACAGGCTTGATAGTTGATTCAAACACTGAATGATCAAAACACAACATTTGCATGAACCGAAAACCACTTATTGCAAACAATAATTATGTTATCAACAAGCTTCAAGGATAACAAAAAAAACATCTGGGTTGAAATGGTTTGGCAAACGGGCAATCATGACAGCAAATACGACCTGAAAAGTGCTGCCACTGGTTCGAATCCCGGCGCAACAGATCCCTGGGTCGGGGGTCGCTTCCTTTGCCACCAGATGCAGAAGTGCTTGGCCAGCCAGCCAACCAGAGTGTTGTTGAGCAGTGACATCACGGGCGCCATTAGCACGGCCGTCAATTGTTGCAAATACGAAATCATCTTTGATTCACACGAGTTTAAGACAATAACATGCAGAAAGTTTGCATGTCAACTGGAGTGCAAACACAGTGCTTTTCCAAAGTGCGTCAGAGAGTTGGCCAGCTGTATTATCTCTGTGCACTTTGTACTCAGCGGCCTTTGACCTCGACACGCATTCCATTGTCATGACTGGTAATTCCAAAGTCAATTGTTCCACTATCAACTGTCCACAAAATGACAAGCTAATGATAAACTACGGCACCTGTTTTTGTGTGATCAATTGCCACTTGATCTGAGATGCACCAAATGTTTATTTACAAACAATTGTTGACAATGACAAATATGTCCATTTCAGTTACATTACTGAATGTGTATGATTGTTCACATTCGTGAACTGGCAACAGATATTTTCAATTTACATGAACATGTTTTGTTGGTACTCTACAGGGTAAGTAAAAAATAAAATGAAACCCAAATGTCGGGACTGTTGTTTTAGTGAAGTTCTGGATGTAGCACTTTCAAAATCTAGGATATGAAAGCCCCATCCATAAGCTTGCTTTTTGTACAAGAACCATTCAAATCACTTATGTACTTTTTAAGTTACGGTATTGTAAACACAACCACCGTTTTAAAATTCTGTCCACGAATCACAAAAAAGGTGTGCGTTCTTTCAGCAAAACAAAAACAATTCACACACATCCCTATGTGATTTTTTTTTCGTTTTGCTGAAAGAACACTTACCTTTTTGTGATCCGTTGCTTGAACTTTAAAACCGTGGTTGTGTTTAAAATTCCGTAACTTGAAAATTACAAGAGTGATTTAAATGATTCTTGTACTAAAAGGAAGCTTATGAATTGGGCTTTCATATCCTAGATTTTGAAAGTCCTACATGCTGAACTTCACTAAAACAATAGTCCAGACAATTGGGTCTCGCTTTTTTTTGACTCGCCCTTTATTTTAGACATTGGTTGATGGCAACAGGCATTTAAATGAACACTTTAGGTCAAAAGTCCTATAAGCTTTGTAGATATTTTTCTCACTAGTTTTTTGTTTAAACTACTTTCACTGGATCAAAAGGAGAGAATTTCAAAATGGAGGAATATTGCAAGTAACTGTTTTAAGTAAATTTCCATTAAACAAAGGCAAAGCACATTGGGTAACATGCCTTTGTAACTCCAGAAAAGTATCTTTACAAGTTGGTTAAGTAATCTTCAGTTAAACATTGTGATTGTTTTGTAAAACACACACATTTTTTTAAAAACAATTCCAATAATTTTTTGCACACAAATTGAACCATATCAACAACATTATTGAATTTTTTAAAAACATTTGAACCACGTACTGATCAAGTTTCTACCGTCATTTAAATACTATTTTTTTGTTTTACATTCTTTATTACTAAATCTACTGGACCATCTACTAAATACATCAGAATATGTACGAAGAGGACTTACTATTTCAAGTATTAATCCCATAAGTAGGCCTAATCCTACATATAAGTCCGTCACACTCCATCAAAATTTGGTCAAACCAGCAACAATCTGCAGGACCATGTTCACCAAAATCCCCCAAAATGGGGGGATGGATTCTGATATCTACTGAGCTAAAATTCCAATAGGAATTTTTTTGTTATAACCTGCTTCAGATTTACTAGTCTGAGTATCACCCGTTATCCACGGAGCCCAGACTCCTGTCTGACGTCTGATATATCAAAGCATGCAGATTTATGCGATATCGCGCCTCAGTCAATCAGAGTCGACTTTACTTAATCGTGATGTCATTTCATTCCCAAATCAGGACTAAACGTTTGATTGGTCAATTCGAATGCAGTGTTTTGTAGTGCAACAACAGCAGGGCGCGTTATCGTGTAACATGATAACAAAGCGCGTGACGCAGGGCTTTTTAATCCATTGTCTATGATGAGCAACGGGTGAATGACCGAAGACCCGATATAGAAAGCGCCCGCTGATTGGTCAAAATCTAGGAGGTCAAGAGGCGGGATCTTGCCTAATTAATCAGCGAATCTGCTCACATATCATAGAGCCATCTATTACATAGACTACAGATTAATTGTGTTGTTCACTGAATCGGCAAAACAGATTTATTTTGCAAATGGCATCCGTAACTTTTGACACACTTACATGCAGGCCTGACGTTTCAGCAATGCCAGGAATGTCAATCAGGATGGGTCATTAAAGACTAAAAAGTCATAAACTCATTGTAACTGGAATAATCCTGAGGTACATACAGGCATGCAACTGGGAATTTAGAAGAAGAAAAAAGGGAAACTCCAAACCACACAAGACTTTGTACAGTGTCTTTCAAGTTGTAATGGCATTCATGAGAAGTAAAAAAAACAAGGAAATCAGTGAATCCGAGGAAAAGTTGCATGCCTGTACATAGCAGACATGTTGCATGTCAAAGCTGAATTATGCATCACTTCTTACGCTGTAACACTTGACCGATACTCATCTCTATAAAGGCAATTTACAACGTTCGCAAACATCAACAAACCCAACTACCAAATTATAAAGAAACACCTTACTTGACTGTAAAGTGAATAATAGTCTCAAACATCCTGTGAAATCATGGCATCTGGTGTACTGTCATTTTCAAGAAAAGTGGAATTTTCCAATTTTCCAATCATTGTTCGCCAACCATCTTTTGTCAAAACTGCCCCAATTTACCAAATTAAGTCAGTCCACATTTAGTTTGCAATAAGTTACACATCCACGAACGGGAGCAAGCCAGCTAGACATGTTTCCTGACTTGACAATGCCCAATGTCTATATAAATTGCTCTGTTTCATCTGCAGTAGGGTCAGGGAACAAGACTACACTGAAGAATAGGATTTTTTCCAGCATGTACACAATACCTTAAACAGGTCAGTGTAACAACATTTGCTATAAAATACTAAGGCCAAAAAAAAAAAGTCTTCGGTTTCTGGTATGGGGATTGCCCAAAAAGTGGTGCGGCGACGCGGCTTTTTTTTTTTTTTTACCTGATTTTTTTGGCTTCAAATGTCGGCTGATGACTGCAAATGATGCCCGACTAAACTTAGTGCAAATATATGGGAGTCCAGAGAGGCCACATAAAGCTTATTCTCGATCATATCCCCATCTAAAAACACGTTAAAATTGTGTAGCAGCAGGATTCCAGTCAAACCATTGAGTTTGGCGGTTTTGAGACATCATCTTTCATTGAAAAAAAAACTTTTTCATTTTGCCGACGCGCATGGCTACGGCGACGCGCGCGCATACCAGAAACCGGAGACTTATTTTTTTTGGCCTAACCCCCAAATCCATCTATTTCAGAAAATGACAGCAATTCAAGTTAAGCGAATGTTGTATATTGCCTTGAAGCTGATTTCTGGTAAGATTAATATACATACTTTTGAGACAATCAATGCAACACCACCAAATCTGCCAAAATCTACCAATTCGCATTTTGCAACAGTGTCCACTTCCATCAAAATCTGACAGTCATGACTGCATGCGGGGTTTTGTAAGATTCTGCACACCTGCTTTTTATGACCACATGATGTGGACAAAGTAAAAAAAGAAAATTTGACAAAAACTTCAATTCTGAATCCATTAGAATCAATCAATTTTCTGCATTCTGATTTTGGTAGATTTGGGAATAGTTTAATACAGGTAATGATAACAGTCACCCAATGCTGTATCTCTTCCGTAGTTATTTCTTGATTTCTTTCAGTCCGACTTTTCGTTTTCAGAATTCCTGCAGAGAGGGTAAAAAAAGTTCAAGATTTGACTTAATTAACCCTAATCTTCCCAAATCCTCCAAAATCATGTTTGCAAAAAATTGGGGATTTTGGAGGATGCACTGCGTCAAGGTCTTGGGCCGGACCTTGTGTTGTTTATGCTCAGCCGTGCATAAATGTAGGCCTAGATTATACTTGAAATCCTCCGCACTGCTCCAGGATGTCACTGGCTCTGCCTCAACATATTGACAGTGATTGCCGGAGGATGTTGCAGGATTGAGGCAGTGGTCACCCCTCCAAGGACCAACTTTCAAGATGTAACGGAGGATTTTGCAGGATTGAGGCTGTATGCAATTTTTACATGGAAGCAGTTTGAGGATTTTGCAGGATTACGATTGCATCCTAGAAAAAAAGGCCTAGAGAGTTAGGGTTAAAAAACACCTTTGATTAAAGAAAACGTGCAACATGCACACCAGCGTGGATCGACCTGAATAATGGCTTGGAAATGATTTCATCTGAAAAGTCTGTAATATTGATGCCTTTTTATTGTCATTTTAACCATTAAAACTTTAACTAGTACACACAGTCTGTAAGTAGGCAAGGGACATGCATTCATCAAATTGCCAGCTTTTTTTCACATTAAAGATGTAGTTAAGCCAATCACATTGTACTTCACAAGTTAAGTCACATATCAATCACAAGGTCTCAAGTAAAAGTCACAAGTGAAATGGGATGAACACTGACAAAGGAATGCATTATTCAATGTTTATTTGATAAGCTTGTGGCTCGACTTGAGACCAAATGACTTGTGATTGACATGTGATTGACATGTGGTGGACATGTAATCGATTTGTGATCGTCATGTGATTGCCATATGTGACCTGTTCTGTCAAAATCAGACTTTTCTGGGCATAAGGTCAAAAATGAGATTTTTGCATATTGTTAAAATATGTTCTGTTTCCTTTTAATAGGTGGTTTAATTTTTGAAACCGGTCATTCCTGCGCAAAGTTATGCTATTTTGAAGTTCATTGGGTCGAAAAGAAGAAAACAGAGAAAATGGACACGAACGTCACAAAACAGACATTTCTTTAACTGATATACCTTAACAAATCATCAAAAATACTATAATTAGAGATCAAATTAGGGTTTCAAACTTTTATAGTATATTTTAGACATGCTCAGGATTACAAATATGCAAAAATTAGTAAATGGAAAAAAATCACCCCCACAGCATTTTTTGGCCCGATCTCAATTTCAACCTCTGCCCAGAAGCGTCTGCTTTTGACAGAACAGGTCACATATGAGCAACACGTCATTGACATACTTGTGATTAACTTGTGATCAACTCTTGATCAACATGTTATCAACTTGTGATCAACATGTGATCGACTTTTGATCAACATGTGATCAACTTGTGATCAACATGTGATCGACATGTGATCAACACGTGAACGACATGTGATTGACAAGTGATCGACTTGACTATAATGTCTGATTGACATACTTAGTGTCTTGAGCAGCCTCTGCAGCTTTCTTGGCAGCTCGTTCCATCTTTTTGAGGCGAGGCAGGATGACCATCTGATACAGGAAGGGGAAGATAATCAGCACCAGGGTTGGGATGTGATACATGGCTCCATACACCTGCAAGGACAAATCAATCAATTAGTCAAACTCATGCATGAATATTCATCAGTGACTGTGAACCATTTACCGAGTGCCTCAAACATTGCAAAGGTATTCCTTTTTATATTGTGATACTAATATTATAATTTATTTTTGGGTTGTGTAATGCGCGCGCACCTGTTTGGCCTAATATATGCAGCGCGCAATTCAAAAAAATTCATAGTGGTTCCGAAGCAAACTCTTACATTTCTTCCAGTAGTATAAAATATGCAGCAAGACTTTTGTGCAACTTCACTGGTCAGCTCTTTTGTTGTGTGTAGTGTGTGTGGGACTAAAAATGGACCATAATTGCCTGCAGAAGTTGCGCATGCGCACTAGTTTCCCCCATTTTTCGGGGGGAGATTTTAGGAGTTGGCCTAGACGAAGCTACTGACAAGTTCGTGGGTGATATTGCTGGGTGGTGATTGCGGTGGGTTATCGCGTATCAAACCATAACAACGTCTAGCCCCTAGACTAAGAACTGGCTCCAAAGTGGAGTAAAGTGGTAGAATATAATCATTGGAAGTTTGCCATCTTTTTCACACTTATATTTTTATACGGTGATGTTTAAAACCGGTTTAATACAAACCTGGTCACCGATAATAGCCCTCGCTCTGGCTCGAGCCATTATTGGCGGCCAGACCCCAACCGATTTAAAACCACATGTTTGTAACTACTCCAACACTCTACTAAGTCTGTGTATCATCCGTTATCCACGGAGCCAAGTCTCCTGTATAACGTCTGATATGTCTAGACATGCTGATATATGCAAGCCGTGCGCCAGCCAATCGAAGTCGGCTTTACTAAATTGTGACGTCATTTCATTACCAAATCAGGACTAATGCTTTGATTGGTCAATACGAATGCAGTGTTTTGTAATACAACAACAGACAGGTGCAAATCGTGTAACTTGATACAGAGCGCATGACACAGGTTTTTTTTAATCCATGTATATGACGCACAACGGGTGAATGACCGAAGACCCGATATAGAAAGCGCCCGCTGATTGGTCAAAATCTAGAGGTCAAGATGTGGTTGTCTTGCACAATTAATCAGCAAATCTGCTCACATATCATAGACCATGGACATTACATAGACTACACTCTACCAGAAATATCCCCTTATTTAAAATAAAATATCCAAAAAAGAAACGATTTTTAACAACGTCAAAAGGATATGAGGATCAATCTGTTAAACCTACCAGTCGTATCCTTCGCCATCGTAGGAGAACAAAACCCACGAGAGGGTAGCCTACAGACAGGGAAACGGTGATCTTGAGTAGAGCAAAGATGGGCAACTTTAGGGCGGGGTTGCTGACAAGCTTGGTGAGAGGGGGATATCTCTTGACTGCGTCTTGTACCTAGGAGATCAAAAATAAATCAATCTGACGTCATTTCCAGTTGAAATTAGGACCGCTTCCTCGGCAGTGGTTTCGGTTTCTTGCCCATCAACTTGATCTCTGTTGACTTTAGGTGCAACTTTAGATTGAGCATGCAATAAGATCCATTATATAACTGACATACAGATCCTAGTCATTTGATTGGTGGAACTCACATCACATGACATTCGTCATTGCTCCCATTCACGCCGCGGCTCAAAAAGTACTATCCGCCCATGGGGAATGGGAAATACTATTCAACAGTTAGGATCATGACGCGGTATTTGTGTGCAAATGCATGCTGGTGCGCGCGTTCAGCGTTGCGCGTAGCGCGTATTGTTCCAAAGAGCCAGCACTACAGCGTTGGGTTCAAACATTTTCGTGAAGGGGTGGTTTGGACTAGAGAAATAGATTTTCCTCCAGTTTGGAATTGAAAAAAAAGAGTTCAAATGTATCAAATGACAAGGATCTATATGTCACTCATATAAAACAAATATTGAGTGGCTTTAAATTGTGAAATGGGAGGAATATTATCGCTCGGTAAAATCTGGACTTTTCCAGTTCACTTTGCCTCGTGAAATGGAAAAGTCCAGATTTTACCTTGCGATAATATTCCTCCCATTCCACGCTGAGCCACTCAATATTTGTATAATCATATGACATCAGAGTACCACATGACAATCCGGTTTCCCAATGATTGGCCACCATTGCAGTAGACAAGCATTTAGTTAGCAACCACCTCGTACATTGTAAAGGGTGCATTCGTTAAGCTCACCCGGTCGACACAGATCAGCCCCGTGCCGTTGGATTAGCTCTGACGTCATTCTCGGGGCTCACCCGGGCCAGCCACCACAGACCCTGCTCGTGGAGCAGAGTCAGTGGTGGAGGCACGTCACGCATGCGTTGTTCATTCCCTAGAAACGGACAAATATGGCGGCCAGACAGCGGAAATCTCAAGTGGGCTTAAAAGTTGACTTTATTTGAAGTCTAAAGGTAATCATTTATTGAGTTCATTGCGACTTTTGAGGCCATAATTTCAGTCACACTTTTTTTGAGTTTTGCAACTGACTAAAAAGTAGTAAATCTCAAATTAAGACCCAATCCGAAACGGGGATTTTGTCAGTGGCTACGGCCACGGCTTAGGGCGTCATGCGAGTATCGTGCCTCCGCAGTTGAGCATTTGATTAGCCCGGCTGTCGTGGCTGATCCATCTGCCTTTACCTGTGTCGACCCGGGTGAGATAAATGAATGTACCCACAAAAGGCAGTAGGGCTTATTTTCACGTAAAACGACTGCAAATTCTTTGTCAAGTGGCTAATAGTCACTACTTGTGCTGTGCGCCTACGGTGGTTATAATCGTGCCGCCCAGCACTGGGTGTTGGCTCCGCGTCTTTCTCGCAGTTTTTGCCATCTATCGCAGCTTTGAAGTCTTGCCTAATACCTACTGCGCAGTACGCTATACATGTGGTATGATCTTTGTCTACTTTGATGGCGACGCTGGCTTTCTGGTAACTGAATGGAGGCCGGGTCATGTGGGTTGGTGAGAGAGTATAACATTTGATCGTGATGAAATTTCATATATTGTAATCAAAATCGGGAAAAACACTGGAGGCTGCTTTGCAGCAGATTTCTGCAATCTGCTGTGAGTTATTTTGCTTTCTGAAGCCAGAAATAAGTCCAAATGTGGGTAATTTGGGTACATACTTTTGTGGTTTTTTTTTTGCATACATGTAGGTGCAAACGTGAAAACAAAATATCATAGTTAAAACTGTTGCAACACTTAAATGAAACGTATATTGATATCAGGACGTCCATTTGCACAGATTTTTCAACTTATTTCCAGTTTTAAATTGTACAGTACTGATTTGCCACCATTACAGGTTGAAAATTTCAATATTTTGTGAATTATGAGTTTATAAGTTTTGGAAAAAACTTAAATGTCAAAAAATGTAATTCACTTTGATTTACATCAAATGCAAGATTTGTGCATGAATTATGGCAGTTATTGAACCAATTTTGGGAGAGAAACAGAAATCCATCCTTACTTGCAAAGTATTTGGGGAAAAAAAACTGGTATCATTTCTTGTCCTACCTGCTGAAATTAAAGGGAATATACAACATTTGCTTTTGATGTAATTTTCAGTATTGCATGGTTTTGGGGGGTTAGTGTTTTATAGCAAATATTGTTTCACTCACTTCTTTTAAGTTTTGTGTTCATAGATGCTGAAATAAACAAGAAAAACAATCATGTTCCTGTAGTCTGGCTCCCTGACCCCACTTAAGATGAAACGGAGCAATTTAAAGACGTCGGGGAATTGTAAAGTCAGGGAACCAGTCTCGCTGGCTTCCACCCGTTCACAGATGTGTAACCAAATGCAAACAAAATGTGGACTGACTAAATTTGGTAAATTGGAGGCAGTAGTTGACAAAAAGTCAGGTTTTTCCAACGCTGGTCAGCCGACCAGCGTTGGAAGTTGATACAAAAATACCACTTTTCTTGAAAATGACAGCACACCAGGTACCATGCTTCTACAGGATGCTTTAGACTGTCATTCACTAACAGTCCAGTATTTCAGAATAATTTGGTAGTTTCATTTTTTGATGTTTGCAAATGTTGTATAGTCCCTTTAAAGGGAAAATACAACATTTGCAAACATCAAAAAATAAAACTACCAAATCATTTTGAAATACCTTGCTGGACTGTTAGTGAATGACAGTGTAAAGCATCCTGTAAAATCATGGCACCTGGTATACTGTCATTTTCAAGAAAAGTCGTATTTTTGTATCAATTTTCAATGGTGGTCGGCCGACCAGCGTTGGAAAAAACTGGCTTTTTTTCAAATACTGGCCCCCATTGGCCATCGCACTTGTTTGCAATCGATTACACACCTATGAACGGGTACAAGCCAGCTAAACTGGATCCCTGACCTTGCAATTCCCAAATGTATGTAAACTGCTCTGTTTCTTCTTAAATGGAGTCAGGGAACCAGACTACAGGAAAATGATTGTTTTTCTTGGTTTTTATAGCATTTTCAAACCCAAAACCTCAAAAAAGTCAGTGTAACTATATTTGCTATATATTTCCAACCCCCCAATTCCATCCATTTCTGAAAATTACAGCAAAAGCAAATGATGTATATTCCCTTTAAACAGTGAACAAAACATATCTTTGAAAAGAAAAAAAATCAACAATTGTGAGACGTGCTTACAAATGTCTCTGTGGCAGTGACGAAGATCTCCAACCCGAAGCATATATAGTAGCCAACGTACATGCCGTGCCAGACAGCCAGAAACATGACGGCGGCCGTCTGAGAAATGTAGCGATTGTTGAGAAACTTCAGCCTCTTGAAGACGTACCTACAAGGAAACACAATTACCAGATCAGTATGAACTAATTCTCTTTAAAGAGGTTGTGGAATGCTCGAAAACATTTCCGTCATTTTTTGGGTATATGTAGCCTAAGGTGTGATGAAATAAAAACGACTATTGTTTCTGTCATGAAGTGAGTACAAAGCTTAAGGTTACTTTTGAGAGCTATTTTTCAGGTCCTGTTTCGACCCGAACGTGCAATTTGTGTAAAAGTCGTCGTTGCGGGCAGCAAACAAAACACAGTAAATCGTGACGTAATAAACAGGACTCGTTTATGCTACTCTGCATCGGGAGTCCTGTTTATTACGTCACGATTTACTGTGTTTTGGTTGCTGCCCGCAACGACGACTTTTACACAAATTGCACGTTCGGGTCGAAACAGGCATGACAGGACTTGAAAAACAGCTCTCAAAAGTACCTTTTGTACTCATTTTATGACAGCAACAATAGTCGTTTTTATTTCATCACACCTTAGGCTACATATACCCGAAAAATGACGGAAATGTCTTCGAGCATTCCACAACCTCTTTAACTATTTCAGTGCCAAAGTCGTACATGTACGAGGTACATTTGTTAGTTCGAAATTGCCAACCTCGTACATGTACGAGGTAATGTACGTACTCAAAATTGCCAAACCTTGTACATGCACGAGGTAGAGTAAGCACGTTATCACAAGGGGGCGCTCTCGCTCTTTCTAATAATATCATTTTCATTCAGGTACGACCTGTATTTATTTGTTTCATCCGAGTTCTTGCGAGAGGGCGCAGCACTGACGCTCGTATTTTCTGCAAAAAGTGCGGAATTCCCCTGTGTGCAGGACAGTGTCTCAGGGTGTATCACTATGTATGTGACTACTATTGACTTTCCAATATACTAAGGATATACCAGAGAGCAACAACAACAAATTTAGTGGGTAAAACTTATTTACTTTTTTTTTTTTACAGAATTTTGAACAATTAACAAAAAAGCTCGAAGTTGGGCACTTTAGGGTTAAACTTTTGAAATTCCGCAGGCACTGAAAGAGTTAATACCACTGAAAAAAATATACCCAACGATAATTGGGCACTTATGAGCAGATCACACAAAGTAAGGCACAAAGACAATTTCAATTAAAATCTTACTTTAACATTCAAATGAATCAACTGACCTACATGTATGTTGAGGCTGCTTTCCCATACTCTTCAGCAAGTTCATTTTTTTTTACCTTAATAAGTTTTCAACAAGTATGTTTAATTCAAATATAAAAGAAATCTCCATTTTTTTGGGCACAAACAGATGCTTTGCGAGCAGACCGACTCCTGGTCTGTACATGATCGATACTGATGTGATACTGATTGTCGGGAACCAGGCTATCCCAAGAGAACAGAATTATTGTCGGTCGACACTAAATTTGTAAAATAATAATTCGATAACTAAACATGGGCCTTTTTTGCGGTCGATGTGTCATTTAAAAGTGAATAACTTTTTATATTTCCTGAAAAATAGCAATTTAGAAAAGGAATCTTATTTTTTAGGATGAAACGCGAAAAGAGCCCAGGGAGTGCAACTATAAAGTCCAAGGCATTAACAGTCTGTGTGAGGTCTCTAAAACAACTCAGGGTTCGACCTTAACTTTTTTGTTCACTAGCCAGCCAGGCAACTAGCCCGCGGGCATTTTCACTAGCCCGCATTTGTTTTCTTATCTCAAATACAAAATGGCGTATTTTCAGGCTCAATTCTGAGGCAATTTTGTCAGTGTTTTTGATTAATTAACAGATCTAATAATTTAACCCTTTAAAACAGTTGATAGAATTAGACACAAATTGATGGGGTTTTCTTTCTGAATTTAAGGATTTATTTCTTCCAGTACGTTCATCTTTGCGCTATCTTAATAATTTTTGACTCGCCAGCGGGGCTACTTAAGGAATAGTTTGACTAGCCTGCCGCTGTTTTGACTAGCATTTGGCTAGTAGGCTACCGGTAATTTCGAACCCTGCATCTGAAGCAAGATATGCAACAGAGGGCCTCCCCCCCCCCTCCTTTGTGTTGATCATTGCGTTCTTGGAATCGCAGGAAATCTTTTGAGATATCTAGGGGGATGTGTTAGGTAACAATAGTCTAGAATGCGTATAGTGTATAGGGATACCGAGGGACCCCTCTGTCTTAAATCGTGCATGGTAAACTCGAAGAATGTCTTGATTAAACCACAGACCTGGACACCCAGACATTGGTGGTGATGTTAAAGGAGCGGATGTACTCTGCGGTGACCGTCGCTGTCTCCAACTTCCATGGTATGACGCTGGTGCAGGCATTCCACAATGCATTGCCGTTCTCGTCCTTGCCGTTGTAGGGCAGGCCGCTCATGATGCAGGACCCATCCTAAACAAGGAAAAAAAAAAAGGTTGAATTTGAAGAAGAAAAAAAAATCGAGATAAGGCCAAAGAAAAAAAATATTCGGTCTCTGGTCAGACCAAAGTTCTGGAATTGACACGGCCACGCGGCTTTTTTTTTTTTTTTGCTTTTTTTTTTTTTCTTCAAGCTTGGATCGTACAGACAAGGTAGGTACTATTTTGCTTTTTTGGTGTCCTCATGTACATTGGTGTCCTCCATAATTTGCCTTGGTGCTTTCGATCATTTGCCTTGGTGCAATTTCCCATTCCTTGGTGCTCTTTGGTAAAAAAAATTGAGGAGGTGCGGAAATAGAGGGCACTGTTGGAGCTACCGCGGAACATTTTTGAAAAAAAAAAGATCTACGCGCATGATTAAAATCGACGCGCGCGCTGACCAGCCCCGATTTTTTTTTTTTTTTTGGCCTAAAGCCTAACCATTGCTCCACCATACCTTCCAATTGACTCAAAACTCCCTGGACATTTTTGCTAGGATGCAACCTCAATCCTACAAAATCCTCCAACTGCCTCCATGTAAAAATTGCATAAGGCCTCAATCCTGCATCTATGCTCCGTTATTTCTTGAATGTGGTCCTTGGAGGGGTGACCACTGCCTCAATCCCGCACAATCCTACAGCAATCAATGCCAGTATGTTGAGGCAGAGCCAGTGACATCCTGGAGCAGTGTGGAGGATTTCAAGTATACTAGGCCTAAATTTATGCACGGCTGAGCATAAACAACACAAGGTCCGGCCCAAGACCTTGAAACAGTGCATCCTCCAAAATCAGGGCCACATACTTTTGCCATTTCCTCAATCCTGCAAAATCCTCCATTTGGCAAAGAGGATTTTGGAGGCTTTGGGACGGTTAGGGTTAATATTTGTCGAAAGTGACTTCGCTACATGTTTTGGCACTGCCCCTCAATATCTGCCACTGTACCAAGTTTTATGTGTAGAAATCACTGGCAAAAACAAAAAAGCAAAGTATACAACAAGTGAGTAGTGAGACCCCGGGCCCTCCTAATCACTCCATAAGGGCCCGTGACCATTCAGCCCCGGTATGAAAAAATAAGCTCGTCCCCTCCCAAGAAGACCTCATGTACCGTCCCAGCTACCGGCCCAGGAGCTGGTCCGGTTGCTAATCAGGAACTCCTCTATCCTGGGGTCTATTGTTTGCAAGTATTGACACATGTAAAATATCCAAGAAGAAACCCGCTTGTGGTTTTCATCTCTCAGCACGAAACAATAGAACACTTTCGTCGGCACAGATCAAAACCCCTGCCATGCGGTTTCGCGCACAATGGGACCGTAAATAACCTAGGCGTTATGGAAGGATTTTATCTTTAATCCGGTTAGTCTGCTATTGTTCTGCTCTGGACGTTCTCTGAAGGGCCATAAATTGATGCGCCTGACTGACTTCAAAACTTCTGGTCAGACAGGACCATGTACCGGACGAGACTGGGCTGAAGACCGGACTGGCTCTGGACCGGACGAGGTACCGGGGGGCCCTATTCATACCAGGGCTGAATGGTGACACAGTCCCTAAATGTAACTGGTAACAAATGCCCTGTGAAATTAATTCACAGAAAAGCAGCTTCACTGTACAGTTTAATTTTTCAGACAATTGTAATGACAAACGGCCCTGGAAGCCTTTAGACACTTCAATATACGATGGCCGTGATAATTTTGGTGTCAAAGAGAGTCATTAATAACTTTGAGCCAGTAGAAGTAAGTTAAAGCTATAGTCCATCATTTGCAGCCATCCGAAAAAGTAACTGGCGTATTATTGTTGAAAAACATACTTGGTTGAAAGATAGTAAGTGGACTAAACTCCCTGTGAAATTAATCTTTCTGGCAAGCTATCATTTTGAAGTAATCAACGAAAGAAGGCCTTTCCAACGGTGCGTCTTAAGACGCACCGTGGGAAAATTTAAATTAGTAGTTCATTTTGTTATTCGGCGCAGCGCGCCGCAAGCATTGGCACGACGCACAGGCGCGCGCGGTTGCTATAATTCGTCGGATCAGTGCGCAACATCGCGTATAGCTGCAATTCAAAACAATTCAAAACATGATTCAGCAACTTTTGATTTGAAATTGCGATCCTAGAATGTTGTTTTTCTCGGAATATACAGCTGAAGCTGATGAGCTGAAACTTCATCAGGTTGGTTGCTCAGTATCCTTCATTAGATTTTGAACACTTTTGTTGCTTCAAACGAACAAAACGCACAAATTACAAATGATGGACTATACCTTTAAGCTAGTGAAGGTTCAAAATGTTTTAAAAATCCATCTTCGGTAATACGTACAGCAATAAACTGAAAACTGGCTGAAAGTCCAATCTGTTCATGAACAAACTGGGAAGCTGACTGATGATTCAAAATACTTTTTATCATAATGTTATCTTCATCCACTGATCAACCCTATCCCCAAGGCCCTTTTGACTATAGGAACCATCCTCTATCCTGCAAAATCCTCCAAAAGCCACCATGTAAACACTGGACTCAGCCTCAATCCTGCAAAATCCTCCAACTGCCGCCATGTGAAAACTGGACTTCTGAATTTGTTCAGTGGATGGTGACCATTGCCTCAATCCTTCAAAATCCTCCAACAATCCCTGTTAATGGGTTGAGGCTGGGTATAGCCTACAAACTCGACACAATGCATCCTCCAGTATCAACCGACACAGCCTCAATCCTCCAAAATCCTCCAAAAACCACCTGGAGGATTTTGGAGGATTTTGGAGGATTGAGGAGGGTTAGGGTTCAATTTCCCCCCCCCCCCCCCAAAGATACAACTCTTACCACAATAAGAAACACCGTGCAGTACTTGAAGAACACAATCTTGTGCCAGATTCCAACCACAACGATCTGGTAGAGTAGCGACGAATTCTGGACAAGAAAAGAAAATAATAATTAAGGTGCAATTTTTCAAGAAGCATTAAAACAAGGGGGAAACAGTGGCAATGGCAGTACGCTCATGTTCTTATAGCCATTACACAACACATTATGTGTGCATCAGCCTCGACTCCATGGGCGCGTGCGCGTTCCTTCACTAACCCCTGGCCGTGATGAACACGTAAACGATGCTGACTGCTTATTCAGAGCGTACTGCGCGCTCATTTCGAAGACTGCACGCCCATAATGCGCTCGCGTGCTTTGCACATCACGTCATGTGCGAACATTTTGTTTTTCAATACTGCGCGATACATGTATGATATGGATTATGGCAGCCTCGTTTTTCGCTTAAAAAAACCTGTATCTTCGGTTGTGAAGGGACGAAGAGGTACGTACATGTAATACAAATCCTTGCTAAATAACGCGACGTCGAAATCTTATGTTTCAAAGGATTGATTCTTCAAAAACACAACTTTCAACATTTTAAAGATGGCGTCGCGCGTTGTATACATCGACCGCAGCCCTAATTATAATGTGTCATATTTTGACACATTTCAATGGGACAAATCCACTTGAGGGGTTAAGATTGCGCAAGGCATGATGGGAAACAAAATGGCGCAGCAAGATGGTACCCATGGGGAACGAGGTTGTTGTTGGGGAATCAAGATGGCCGCAACATGATAATGGTCTATTGGCGAAACTTGCATGGATAGTTTCATGGATACCGCCATGTTTGGGGTCACATGGTAATCTCAGGAGGCTTTTCATTGAAAACACGTCCCGGCATGTTTAACAATGAAACATCTCCGAGTTTTCTACGGGACCACAAAGATGGCGGCATTTATAAAATGGTCTATGGCGTCCATACCCTGTGCGACCCATGTTGGGGAGTCGGGTTGGCGTAGCGGTACTTTCCTCGCCTTCCACCGCTGTGACCCGGGTTCGAATCCCGCCTGGGCCAATATGTGGATTGGGTTTTCAGTCCCTACCTGATTCCGTGGGTTTTCCCCCAGAATATTCTTCTGGGCTTTTCCTCCCACCAGTAAAACTGTAACTTCTTCTCATTGTCTTCTCTCCACAGGTTTCTTCAGGCTTGCGAGCTACAGTGCCTAGGGCGCTTTTGAGGAATCCTTGGTTTCATTACCAGAAATTATTAATAATAATAATAATAATGTGTGACCGAACCACTGGAAAAGACACAGTAAAAGGGGAAAGTCTACTCACGGCAAAGTCTTCCGACTGCAAGAGCGCGTTGGAGAACATTGGCGCCAGTACGCACTCCAGAATGGCGTACACAGCTGCCGCACCGAGGCGGCTCAGCGCCGGCATGACGCAGGCAGGCGGGTGCCCCTGGTCATTGTCTAGGAGTTTCTCCGCCGTGAAGTCCAGGTACCGTCGGATGGAGAACTGGGGTCCCGCAAAGAACCCCCCGGGGAAGTAGGTGTAACCGCACATCTCCAGGAGGGAGGGGACGGTCTTGATGCTCAGCTGCTTCTGCTCAACGCTGAGTTGACTCTGCGGGAATTGAAAGCAATTGGAATGATTCGCAATGCAATTCACCGTCAGGCATTTGCATCAAGCACGTGGAGTGTTGGGGTGCAATGGTTACGGTGTTCGGCCCGTGTGCCATGGTACATGGGTTCGGTCCCTGACCCCTGAACATGGTACTTGTGTCCCTGGGAAAGACACTTTACTACAATTGGCTCTTTCCACCCAGCAACTATAAATGGGTGCCCATACTGGCTGCAGAAAAGCGGTCTCTTTTTAGAAGAAAGATGATACCAAGATCTCTCGATTCGGTCCAGTACTTTGTGCTGCAGAGCCTATTTTGTGAAGCACACATCTTTCATGTGGGTGTTATTACATAATACGGGACAAAATGACTCCCGACTTTGTTTCACAAAATAGGCTCTAGAAACAAAAGCCACTGGACCGAATCAGGCGATCTTGGTATCATTTTGCTTTTAACAGAATTCCCTATGCAGTGAAATAGGTTGTTTGAGTCTCAGGGTAGCGGAAGTACGCCGTTCCGTTTTTTTGGGGGAGGGGGCCACCCTTTATAAGCACCCCACATTATGAGGCCCCGCCCATTGTGTACAATGCCACACTGCATTTTCCAGCCATGCGCGTCGCGTCGGAGTTTTGTGCACGCATGTTGGGACATACATCACAAATTATTTGTTATCTGCCATAGCAACTGGCTCACACTCTATATGAGTCACCAAAACAGGCATACACGTAACTTACATGAAATTGTATTCACAGGTTTTTGTTCATTAAATTAAATTTGAACTGCTACTTGCCTCGTCCTTGTGGCCGTCAAAAAGGTCAAAGGCGGTGCCAATCATCCTGAGGGTCAAGATGCAGTGGGGCGTGGTCCACATGACGTCATAGCCGTCGGTGGAGAGCAAGACGTACGCAGTCAGCAGGTAACCCTGACGAGAGCAAGTCAAACCAAGATATAATTAGAACCACATGTTGACTGATTAGAATCGAATGCATGCTGGTTTAAAGGGAAAATACAACATTTGCAAACATCGAAAAATAAAACTACCAAGTTTTTACAAAATACCTCACTAGGATGTTGGTAAATGACAGTCTGAAGCATTCTGTAAAATTATGGCGCCTGGTGTGAAGTCATTTTCAAGAAAATGGTATTTTTGTATACATTTCCAACGGTGGTCGGCTGACCACCGTTGGAAAAACCTAACTATTTTGCAACTACTGCTTCATATTTACCATTTGTTTCAGTCCAAATTGTGTTTGCTATTGGTTACATGTTCATGAACGGGTGCAGGCCAGCTAGACTTGTTCCCTTACCTTACAATTTTCCGGCAAATTGATCCATTTCATTTTTAGTGGAGTCAGGGAACCAGACTACTTGAACATTTTTGTTTTTCTTGGTTTTTCAAGCATTTTCGGACACAAAACTTCAAACATGTCAGTGTAACAATATTTTGTTCTATTATACTACCCCTCAACTAGTTCATTTCTGAAAATTACAGTGAAAGCCAATGATGTACATTCCCTTTAATGATGGTTGAATGGTTGGGCAACTATAAGGGAATGGCTAACTGAGATTATAACACCTCACCCACAGATTCTGTGTCTTGATTGGCCGAGAGCGAGTCACATGTTACTTTCTAATTTTGCTATCTTTCTGTGCACGGCCAAAAGAACTATACCCGTAGCAACCAAAGTACTATACCATTGGCAACCAAAGTACTATTTCCACGGCGCGGTATTTGTGTGCAAATGGATGCTGGTGTGCGCGTTGCGTGTTGCACGCAGCGCGTTTTGTTCCAAAGAGAGCGCACCACAGAGCTGGGTTCAAACATTTCGCGAAGGGGTAGTTTGGAAGAGAGAAATACATTTTCCACCAATTTTGTATTGAAATTGAAGTTTATTTCAACTGTGTTGAACTGTGGTCTTCTCCAGGTCTCAGAATTGTTGTGGTAATGGAACAGTTAAAATCAATGATACTGCCATTAGTAAAGTCCATTCCACAAAATTCTTGGGTGTTACCATCGATGACAAACTTTCCTGGTCCAACCACATTACTACTGTCTCCAAAGTCATCAGCCGAAACACTGGTGTACTTTCTAAGCTCCGCTCCTTTCTCCCATCTACCACTTTATTTTCTCTTTACAATACTCTCATTCTCCCCTATCTGAACTTCTGCAATATTGTGTGGGCACGCACAAGCACTAACAAACTTAAATCTCTTATTACCGTACAGAAAAGGGCTATTCGTATTTGCACACTGTCCCATCCTCGTGATCACACAGCACCCTTGTTTGCCAGATTACACACACTAACAATCACCGACATTAATAAACTTCAAACTGGTATAATAATGTACAAATATACTAATAACCTTCTTCCTCGCACTTTCTCCTCATATTTCACCTCAATTAACGATATTCATCAATACCATACTAGATCACATAATAACTACTACATCCCTCTTGCACGCACATCATATGTAATGAACACTCTTCGTTTTCATGGACCTCGTCTATGGAATGGACTCAGTCAGTCTATGAAATCGCAGTCCTCTGTTGGCCGATTTAAAACCACTTTCAAGAACCATCTTATCTCCCAGTATATAGCATAGTTTGCTTTGTCTTTTGTTGGTTTTTCTACATTCATACCGTTTGCTTTAATTGTGCTTTCTTTTGCTTGCATCATCCATTTTATAAACTGTGTCGTTGTATCACTAGTATGTTTCGTATGTCCGTCTGTAAAGTTTATTAAGTTTACGTCCACTCCGTTTGTTTGTCTGTTTCTGTTTCATTGTTTTGTTTTGTTGTGTTTTGTCTTTTGAATTTAGTCTTCCTTTTTCAGTATTGTTTATACATATATATTTTGTTGTGTTTAAGGCATTCCGTTTATAAGCTTCGGCTTCTTGTGCAATGCCTCCACTTAGTAGTTTTCATGTAGCAATTGTTTTGTTTTCTAGAGTGCTTATTCATGTGGAAATAAATGTTTCTGAAATGAAATGAAAAAGTGTTCAGATTTAAATAATTTTAAATATTATAACCAAGCAAAATCTGTGGGTGAAGTGTTATAAAACAAATATTGAATGCTTTATCTCGTGGTGAAGTAAAACTAGCCTCCCTCGGTGATCCATGGAGCATTCTATTTTCCCTCGGCTTCGCCTCGGAAAAATAGAATGGTCCATGGATCACCTCGGGAGGCTAGTTTTACTACACCACTCGAAGCATTCAATATTTGTATACTATTGCCCTACCAGACACGTGACGAGGATGCACTATTATTTTCCACTGTTGTCAGTATCTGAAATTGTGTTTTTATTGTTGAACAAAGGAATTGACTGGAGCGGGGTTTGAATCTGCGACCTCCGGATAACCGTATCCTCTGAGTGATCCCCGTTTGCTATTTCCCAGGTCTGGATCATGACTTTGGGTGAGATCCCTGGCTGCATGGCATACTCAGGTTTATGGCTTCTGACTAGTGTCCCTTGAACGAAGACACTGACGAATTGGGGAACCGCCAACATAGGGCTGGCTAGCTCAGTTGGTAGAGCACTGGAACGGTAATCCGGAGGTTGCAGGTTCAAACCCTGCACCAGTCAATGTCTTTGTTTAACTCTTAAAGTATCTGAACTTGTTTGATCTCATTTTAAAAGTAATTATACAACATTTGCTTTTGCTGTAATTTTCAGAAATCCATGGATTTTTTGGTTTAGTATTTTGTAGCAAATATGGCTACACTGATCTGTTTAAAGTTTTGTGTTAATACCTGCTCGAAAAAAAAAAACAAGAAAAAAATGCTGTTCTTGTAGTCTGGTTCCCTGACCCTATTTCTGATCAAATTTATAGTCGCCGGGGAATTGTCAGGTCAGGGAACCAGACTAAGGCGGCTTGCAACTACTCACGGATGCGTAACCGATTGCAAAAAAGGAGACTAACTAAATGTGTTAAATTGGAAGCACTATTCGAAAAAAAGTCCGATTTTTTTTTGAAGATGGTCGGCCGACCATTGTTGGAAATTGATACAAAAAGTCCACTTTTCATGAAAATAACAGCACACCAGGTGTGATTATTTCACACACTGCTTAAAGGGAATATACATCATTTGCTTTTGCTGTAATTTTCAGAAATGGAAGGAATTGGAGGGTTGGAAATATATAGCAAATATAGTAACACTGACTTTTTTGAGGTTTTGGGTTCGAAAATGCTATAAAAACCAAGAAAAACAATCATTTTCCTGTAGTCTTGTTCCCTGACTCCATTTAAGAAGAAACAGAGCAGTTTAAATTTATTGGGGAATTGTAAGGTCAGGGAACCAGTCTAGCTGGCTTGTACCCGTTCATAGGTGTGTAATCGATTGCAAACAAGTGCGATGGTCAACTGGGGCCAGTATCTGAAAAAAAGCCAGTTTTTTCCAACGCTGATCGGCCGATCAGCGTTGGAAATTGATACAAAAATACCACTTTTCTTGAAAATGACAGTATACCAGGTGCCATGATTTTACAGGATGCTTTACACTGTCATTCACTAACAGTAACAGTCCAGCAAGGTATTTCAAAATGATTTGGTAGTTTTATTTTTTGATGTTTGCAAATGTTGTATTTTCCCTTTAAGCACAGTGAATGATGCAAAGTTTCTATCTGCAAATAAACTCACCATGTTGAAAGCAAAGGACAGAGCCACAGACAGCTGGCTTCCTCCTACAGTAACCAGCAGGACGTAGTTGACCAACACCGAGATCATTGAGTAGACGATGTCATAGCCTGCACATATGAATACATGAATATTTAATGTATCATACAAAATGAAGCACTGTATGAAAATAAGTTCAAGCAGTGCTCCCCGGGAATTTTGTAGCTGAATTTTGGGCCCTACTAGGCCTTCATCGGAGCTGGACTGGAGGTTTGAATGCAGAAATTCCACATTCAAACTGCCTGGCGTGAACGTTCCAAGCTTGTAGATGATACATCGTTCCTAGTAGGGCCGAAACTTCAGCTACAAAATTCCTGGTGAGCACAGCATGAACTTATTTTCATCATATAGTTATGAATAATTAATGATGGGGAATATGTGAATGAAATAACGAAGAGGGGAAAAAGTTAGAATCCAGGGTAACAAATCCTGATGCCACTTTTTCATAATAGCTAAAAAATTTAACCACTTTTTTTTTGGAAAGAGTTCCATACCTTGACATCACTTGACACCCTGTGCACAAACCCTATGAGACTGGTCTGAAAAATTCCAAGTGTTTTCTTAGTAAATGCTTCAATATTTGTTTCCTACTAAATATGGCTTTTAGGACATGTTATCGCTTTCTCATGGCCGATTGGTCACTGCAGGGAAAAATTAGTGATGTCCATATGTGGAATTCTTTTCTTAATTTTTAATTCATACATTTGTAATATTTTTTGCAAATTTTGTCATTGTATTGTCTTCTTTATTTGTTTCAAACAAAATTGTAGCTAATAGAGTGGAAAGGATGACGGCTCCGTTGGACACAATTTTGGATCAGCAAAAGAGTCAAGAATATGAAAAATCCAACAAATAGCGTGGACAAGAAACTACTTTTTTATATGTTTTACTTAGCTTAACCTTAACCCTAAGTCCCTTGGCATTTTTGTTACGATGTAACCCCAATCCTGCAAAATCCTCCAACTGTCGCCGCGTAAAAATAGTATACACCCTCGATCCTGCAAAATCCTTTGTTATTTCTTGAATGTGGTCCTTGGAGGGGTGACCACTGCCTCAATCCTGCAAAATCCTCCAGCAATCACTGTCAGTATGTTGAGGCAGAGCCAGTGACATCCTGGAGCAGTACAGAGGATTTCAAGCCTAATGCAGGCCTATATTTATGCATGGCTGAGCAAAAACAACACAAGGTCTGGCCCAAGACCTTGACAAAGTGCATCCTACGAAATCAATAACGCACTTTTGCCATGTAACCTCAATCCTCCAAATTCCTCCACTTTGGCAAAAGAGGATTTTGAAAGATTCAGGGCGGTTAGGGTTAACGACAGTCAGTCACTGCAAATGCATTAAAAAGAAAAATTAAGAAATGGAGAAACATTGCTTGCGAATCAAATTTTTCCTTTTAGTTATTTTGTTCTTTTACCAAAGTTCAGTGACGCCAGGGTGAGGCCACACAGAATGAAGTAGACATGCTTGATGAATTGTGACTGGCCATGCAAGTAGGTCCTGGAAATGTAGCACAGTGGATAACCTAGGGGGAAAAAAGGACAACAATCATTATTGTCAATGGGGGATAGTGGAGTAATGCTTGCTGGGTGGGGGGGGGGGGGGGGCGGTATTCGACTTGAATTCCACTTTAAAAAAAAACACCTCCAATTGCACCGAGATTCAAAATTGTAAGGCAACAGAGGAAGGTGATCTAATATTAGCTCAATGAATAAAGCACCATAATAAGCACCATAATAAAAGGGCATCAGGTCGGGTTGACGAGGCCAAACCAACCCGAGACATTTATTTTATAAACCAATTCCAAACCGAAACCGAATTGGACTACCTAAAACTGACCAGAACCGACAACAATTCAAAGAAAACCGACCCGAAACTGAACCGATCCGAAAAAACCCAAATATCTGGCTTCGGCAAATGTGTATGATTTTTGCACCTGAACTGTCCCACTTTCAGACTTTATTTCCCTTTAAAACAAAATCCTCCAGAGCCATGAATCAAAATCCTCCAGAGCCACCAACACCCCAACATATACACATCAAAGAGGGCGCTGTACAATCTAGCTGGCTTAATATCGGGATAAATATCCACTATCAATGAGTAAATCAGGAAAAGCCTCTGTGAAAACAACGTTGATTACAACAAGCATGACAAGGAAACAGGCACCAGCCTAGCTGGAGTTACCCAGCCCTGAGTTTTATCATTGGGTTGTCATCTAGGGCTGGAGCGAGTTTTTCTCGTAACTTGTAGTATAGGCAAACAATTTTGGAAAATGTTCAATTTTGTCCCCGTTACACACTAATTGCAACTGCAACTCACCCCAAACTTGCCTGGAATAACCATTACACAGGTCCTTGAAGTAAAAAACGATCCACGATGAAGATTCAGCCTACAATTGCAGTGAAAACAGGAGGAATAACCGCTAACCTGACAACCTTGCTGGCATGGCCAGTTGCAGTTGCAATTAGTGTGTAACGGGGACAAAATTGAACATTTTCCAAAATTGTTTTGCCTATACTACAAGTTACGAGAAAAACTCGCTCTTACCCTAGATGACAACCCAATGATAAAACTCAGGGCTGGGTAACTCCAGCTAGCACCAGCCAAATATTCAATGTCATGATGCATGACATTATATATTGAAATACCTTTATTGTTATTCACATCAGTGATACAATAAGAACATTAAGAAATTACATTTATTTATAAATAAAAACATCTACATTTTGTTCATTATCACACAGAAAACGTCAAACATGGACAAATTCACAAATGTACATACACCAAAGTAGCAGTAAAAAAAGGAGGAAGGGGGGAACCTAGGACTCAGGCGTAGGAACAGGGGGGGAACCCTGAAAGGGCCTGGCAAGGTAAAAAGGGGAAAATTCCACCATCTGGAGGGGGACAAAGCTATATGTGCAATTTTTTTTTTTTGTGGATATGATCTGTGACAGTTTTATCGATATTTTTTTAAATTTTACTTATACATGCAGTTTCTATTTTTTTTTTTTTTTGTCTTCCAAAAAGTTAACATATCGTCAGACCCCCTAACATGCCTAAAGCTATGCGATCCTATTTTTATGCGCTCACCTCCAATTTGCATAATTTGACAACGCTTGCACGTTGCAAGCGTTACCTGCTGCATAGATTATTATGGCGTCGACATGGTCGAGGATAAATTTCGCTCAAGTTTTAGTTCAAACAAATCCCACAAAAGGGGGCGAGTTGGAGATGGGGCGATTAGGCCAGGGGTCGAGTTTGTAAGAGGCGAGTTGGTCAGGAGGCGAATTGGAAAGGGGTGAGCTGGTATGGGGAAGGTCGGCCAGGGGGCGAGTCGACAGACCTAACGTTAATAGCAAGTACTGTACAATCAAATGAACGTGCGGCAAGTACAGTCGTTTTCCTAGTTCCGGATTTTTCCTAGTTCCGGATCGCTTCAAATAAAAACCTACCTCTTTTGGATTAGTCTCCAATAAAACAAATTCTGACGGAGTGCATTTTGAAAAGGAATATGTAAGCTTCTTGATACCCAAAGATTGTTTTCGATAAAATCCTTAGAAAAGGAATTTTGGCCAGATTTCCGACTCGCACTTCAACATGTTTGGACGGTTTAAAGAAAATCACGGCAGCTGCGAATCGACGATAAATTTTCACCTAGGTATATCTCTCGTACCGTGTGGTTTCGAATATTTTTTTCATTCACTACAATCGTATAAACTCTTCCATCGAATGTTTGTTCAATCAAAATAAGTTGTAGCGTCTTAGACCCATGAACGTGGCGTTGTATACAACGCCACGTTGTTGTGTATTTTAAAACCTAGCGAAATCGATCCGACATACATAATTCCGTATGGGTGTCGAGTACTCGCCTAGAAATCTAAATTTGCCCGTCCGATTGTTTAGGCTGTGTAATTTCGACGAAATTTGCCCATCAGTAAAGACCCATACGAACGTGTAGAAATTTCATTTTAACCCGACAAATGACCCTGACAAATGACCCCGGACGAGTCGCTTGGACAGATTGACGGCTGTTTCATGTCGCAACCCCGAAAAAAAAAACCCCGCACCCGATTGGCTGCTCGGCTCATCTCGTGTACGTGTGCGCACTCGCACGTGGGCGCACGTGCGCCCGCCGCGTGCGGTGCGGTGAGAGAGGAAAGGACTTGAAACTTGTCTAAAACGATGTCTCTTTTAGCTGCGACAGTAAACAGCCGTCGAATTATACGAAGGACGGTACAATAAAACGCAATGCGCATGCGTTACTTGGGAGAAAATGGCAGCTAGCAGGACTTCATAAACCGGGGCCAGAATTTTCCTCAAATTTCGTCGAATGCAAGTTTTGATGTACAAACAGATTTCTAGACAGCTTCATATGTGAGTACTTATTACATTTGCAAAATAACGTCCAGTGTGTGTAATGGAGGGAGTCAGAGGGACCATTTCGCCAGGTTCAGAAATACACAGCAGCGTGGCGTAGTTTACAAGCCACGTTCACGGGTCTAGTAGCGTCTCTGATATTTGAAAATTTGCAAAAGAAATGATCGTATGCTTTTGCCTAGTTCCAGATCGCGCGTGCACTTACGACCCAACTACACACGAGTTAATCGATTTTGTGTGACGTATTCTGTGCCGTGTGCAAGGTTTTCGGTCCGTGCGTGAGTTCGTGCCGTTGCACTGCAGACAAAAGTTTCAACATTATTTACGTTAATTCTCTTTTGAAAATTTGCTGGAATTCTCTTGAATTAACTATTTTTGGAAAATTAAATAATACTTTATCAGAAAATGTGCTTGATTTGGGGTGGTTCTGGCTGAAAACTTGATTTTCTCGCGTGATTTTTTTTTTCGCGCGAATCAGTTTTTGATCGATTCGGAACTGATTGAACCGATCCGGAACTAGGAAAAGCGGCATCGGTACCTTTGACGTCGTAAAGTCACAATAAAAAGAGCTTAAATTTTGACAATTATTTTGTAGTATCTCCATCACTAAAGGTAAACTTGTAAACCAATGTCACTTGAATTCGTGGAGTAGTTGAGCCGAAAGCAGCCTGAATGATGTTTGCTATCCGCCGGAACTAGGAAAATGACTGTATTTGTTGCCGGCGGGCGCCTGTTTAAAAAGAAAAGTTTAAAAATCTCCACTTACACAAAAGCAGTGTCATGAGATAAAGAAAGCTTGGGGCATCTAGACCCACAAGACCTGCAACCCCGGCCAAAAGGCCGGGATCACTCGCAGTTTCCACGGTTTCAGAAGACATTTTTGCATGCACAATCGCTCAGTTTTTCCTCAACTTGTGGATATGGTGTGACCTGAACTAACCTTTGACCGTACTTTACGCCCGGTGGCGTCGTCCATTTGTCTGATAGGGATGTTCAATTAAAGATGATTGTTATTTTAATAATCAGGGACAATGATAATGAGATTTGTTAGTTGTTTCAGTAAAAAAAAACAACATTTGTATACAATTGATAGGGAAATAAAATTAATGTAAGGAAATGTTATACTTATTAATAAAACAACAGTATACTTTACTTTAGAAGCAACTCCCCAAGTGATAATAATGGTACAGTCAGTGTGTCGAAAGTTTGATGACACTGACCCGTTGTCTCTGCTCGAGCGAAATTCACGTTATAATTTTTTTTATTACGGGGGCTTGGGCAGGGGCCGGGTGTGACCTCTATTCAATATTTACCATTTTGTATTCAATACCTAGACTTTATCATTTGCATTCAGTGTGTTATCTGAAAGGTCAAATGCATTGGGAAACTGGGTTGAACAATCTTCAAAGCTGCAAGAACTGTAAACAAAGTCAATTTTCATGTATCAAAATTTTTATTTCAGATTACGCTTTCATCAAATGACAATATAAAAAAAAAACAATAATTGCATCCATTTTGCTTATTCATTCACAATGTCCCCACCTCGTTCCCACGGTGTCAAGCAGTACACTCATAAACTACCGGTACCTGCTCTATTGCAAGCAATGTTGAAAACAATTAAGCAAGCCCCGGGAACGAGGTTTTTGCAAAGACCAGAAATGGGGTTGGAAGTCCAAATGTTTACTGTGGTGGGTTTGAATGAAACAGGCACATTTTGCGTTTATACATGAAGATTTTTGAATTCTCAAAAATAGATTATACAATAAAAATATAATTGTGCATTAGATTGTTCTCTACTATGTGAAAAATAAAACCTTGTTACACTTTCCACCACCAATCAAAATAAAACTAAACACAAATACTAGTTTGTCACAACTTTCTAAGCATTAATGTCCAAGACCCATTTTGTCCAATAATTGACCGAAAGTATTCAAATCTAATTGAAATATAAAGGCTCTGTGATATGAAAATACATCAGGCGCAATTACAAGTAGTACTAAAGATATATCACGCTAGAGGGACCATCACTGCCAAGTTACCATTACATCAAAACCATATAAGGCCAAAAAAAAAGTCTCCGGTTTCTGATATGGAGCTTGCCCAAAAGGTGGTGCGGCGACGCGGCTTTTTTTTTTTTTTTACCTGTCTTTTTTGCTTCAAATGTCGGCTGATGACTGCAAATGGTGCACGCCTAAACTTAGTGCAAATATATGGGAGTCCGGAGAGGCCACATAAAGCTTATTCTCGATCATAACCCCATCTAAAAACTCGTTACAATTGTGCAGCAGCAGGATTCCAGTCAAACCAGTGAGTTTGGTGGTTTTGAGACATCATCTTTTATTGAAAAAAAAACTTTTTCATTTTGCCGACGCGCATGGCTACGGCGACGCGCGCGCATACCAGAAACCGGAGACTTTTTTTTTTTGGCCTAACAAAGACAATATAATTACATTTGTGTGATTACCATTAAGAAATCTAATGCAGCTATGGCTATTCAGCAATACCATGCTTGACTGCTTTAAAACTAAACAAGCTCAACTTTTCGACAAACCAATCCCTGGACTATAACAATTTGGTGGGCAAAATAACAATAACTACAACAAAAAGGAAAGACAGAATCTTCAAAAATGAGTTCTGTTGGAATTTTTGCACCACGGAGATAAAAATATTAATCTTCAACTTAAAGCAAACTTGAATTCTCGATCCTGATTGGTCGATCCATGGCAACAACACTGTACTTCATTACTGAATACCATGGTCCATATCACACTCTGTGTATCATGGTATTCCAAGATGTGCGCCATTCCCGCTGCATGCCATGGTAAATAGATAACCACTGAAAAGTTAAAGTCCAGCGTGCGTGCTCCATCTTTTCTGTGCGTCAAGTTTGCTTGAAGATAAATTGGCTACCCCACTTGCGCTCGTGGTACACGGAAAATGCAGTGCGTCTTGCATCCAACATACCACACAGATGCACTACATTAATTATTCCATGTTCCACTCGTGCTCATGGAATAACTGGGATTTCCTGTTCTACAATAAGCCATTTGCGAGTTAAATTTGAATAAAATCTGGAACGCTGACTTAATCCAATGCTTTGCACATTTTAACTTTGCATTCTCCCGACCAAAGAGACTGTTACTACATCACGTGATTCGGGGCAAGCCTTATGCTAGCAACACCCAACTCTGGCATGGTCTGGTGTCTTTGTGCCATTCTCACCCATTGTGAGCGATGTATTGATGCTGAGCGTCTCTTACGTAACTATGCAAGAGCTTGCCCCGAATCATGTGATTAGCAACAGTGTCTTTGGTCTGGAGAATTCACAGTTCAAATGTGCCAAGCATTCTGAGCAAGTCAGTGTACCAGATGTTTTTGAAATGTAAATCCCAAAGGGTATAGGTTACTCGCAAATGGCTTATTATCAGCTCATTCAACAATCTAATCAGCCACAATAAACACCTCATATAAAACCTGAGAACCAATTTATAGAACCAATATAATTAATCATTTTAAAAAACACTTCCCCAACAAAACATACAATAACCCCAAATCCATATTTTTATGAATTCTACAAATTTACATGATGTTCACAGCAAGCATTTTGCAATATTAGTATATAACTTTTGTATCATATTTCAATATTATCATAATTTACAAACACAAACCGTTTTCTAGTTTCATATAATTTTAGAGGAATTTTTCTTTTTTTAAACTTTGACCCATACCTTAGAAGAACAGTACTTTATAATAATGAATTGCAATTATTCGACACATAGCAGCACCTTTTTTCATTACCGAACACCCAAGTTCTCATGTTCAAGTGTCGTTATAGAAATTTTCTAGAAAAATATTAGCCTATTAAACTTTTCGTACATATTACTACTTCAATATCTGACAGCTGACATTTTGAAACAAACTCTTTTTGACAGAACATGTAATAAAAACAATGATATAACGTAGAAAACCAGTACCGCTGACAAAACCTTAAAGGGAATGTACATCATTGGCTTTTGCTGTAATTTTCAGAAATGGAGTATTTGAGGGGTTAGTATAATATATCAAATATTGTTACACTGACATGTTTGAAGTTTTATGTTCGAAAATGCTGGAAAAACCAAGATAAACAAAATTGTTCAAGCAGTCTGGTTCCCTGACTCCATTAAAGATGAAATGGATCAATTTATAGTTTCCAGAAAATTGTAAGGTAAGGGAACCAGTCTAGCTGGCCTGCACCCGTTCATAAACATGTAACCAATACCAAACAAAATTGGACTCAAAAAAGGTAAATTTGGAGCAGTAGTTGGAATATAGTTAGGTTTTTCCAACGGAGGTCGGCCGACCACCGTTGGAAATGTATACAAAAATACCATTTTCTTGAAAATGACTTCACACCAGGTGCCATAATTTTACAGGATGCTTTAGACTGTCATTTACCAACATCCTAGTAAGGTATTTCTTAAAAACTTGGTAGTTATATTTTTTGATGTTTGCAAATGTTGTATATTCCCTTTAAAAGAAAATATGATCAGACAACAAACTTACTCATATGTTTTAAGGGAATGAATATGTGTTTGGCCAATTCTAAACACGTACGTTTAAAACCAGCTAGGGGCCTGGTCACGGATAATGACCCTCGCCTTCGGCTCGTACTTTGTACTTCTTTAAAACCGGCCAAGCATGTATTTATTCCCATTCATAAATACCTGTTTGGTCAAAAAATAAAAAATGGACAAAATTCAAAAAATTTTTTTCAACAAGTTTACTTTCTGTTTTGTGAAACAGCCCTCTGGCTGTGTCTATATGGTATGTACTGCGCGCGCGTAGCACTAAAAATCTAATATGGAAATTGGCTGGCGCGCGGCGCATACTCATTATCAGCGATTTAAAACCACCCACGTGATGGGCTCTTGACCAACAGGAATGGTAGGCTGTCTCAGGTATTTATGAATAGCATACACATAAACATGGTATGATATTATCGAGGTACGGATGCGTACTTGGTGAATAGCAAAACTATTGGCTGTCACGTGATGGTGAATGGACCAGTAAGAATGAATATGGATGAGGTATAGTATTAATCAATTTACAAGTGCAGTCACCACAGCAAGTTTGTTGGGCAGAGATATTTCAATATATTCTACCAGCGACTAAGGTCGGCTTTTCGACACGAAATAGGAGCGAATCACAAGACGTGCTGCCACCAACGTTTATTCCCAAAAAGGTCTATTTTTGGCTTGTGGGTCGTCATCTGTAACTACGCGACAGCCCCATGGAAACTTCTCAGGAAACATCACTTTTGAGGTACATGTATGTGAAGAGCATTCTGCTGCTTCACGTGCGAAAACCATGGCCAAAAATAACTGTAAACTGATGCTCAATTTTGCCATGTAACGAATCGCTATGTAACCGAGTCTACAGCGACATCTTACGTTCCTAGTCACACAATGTCAACTTTTCCCCACAATGCAGCGCGATTTTCTCTAGGTTTGAGCCCTCTAGCAACAGTTTAGCGGTATTGTGAATCGCCTCTATTCAGCTTAACTAGAACCCTCCAAAGATTGGCAGACAGGGGCAAGATCGCGCAAGAACTACTGTTGACCAATGGTTAACCATAGTTCGACTAAAGTTAGCCGAACTCTGTCTAGTCGACGATGGTTGACTACGCTAGTCGACTATTGGAACCAGCCTACCGCGGCTGGTCGCGCAATGATTTATAGCTGGTTATCAATAGCAATTTCCATAGCATTGTGCAGAGGGGACCAACTATCATCAAAAATGGCGGAAAACGAAACTGTAAGCATTAAATTTCATTTTCATGGCACACTTTTTCCATGTTAGTTTACGATTATGTCACTTTTGTCATAATACTGGTGATTATGTAAGATGTCCGAAACAATACACAATCACTATTATTGTGTAAATAAAGAGGAAACAAGGGTTGAATAATTGTGCGACCGCGACCGCCATTTTCTGACGGTCGTTAACATGACAATTGTTCGACTAGAGTCGTTGGCACTTCAACTTCAGTGCGCATTCGCTAGGTACGTCACGAACCAACCACTAGTTCACCACCTGTCCTTGCTCGAACTTGCCCTAGGGCTTCTACTTTGTCTTGGCAGTCTCGGACTCCTGACTCCTGCAAACACAAGGAAAAATTAGAGTTAGCCTTTTCAGTATGTTTTTACTCCACAATCTTAAGGGTAATTTTCAAAGGGTGTGGGTTCGAATCCAGCAAGTGTGAAAGTGGTCCCAGTTTCTATGAGCAGAACAGTTGCTTCCCTTTAAGAACCTTCCCTGGAGCCAGCCCCTTTAATTACACAAATCTGACTGTTGCTGGTATGCTTTCTTACCACTATGTAATTTGAGCCACCCAGCCCTCAAACCCAGTCCATTCACCCCTGGTATCCTTCAGACCCCAAACAACCATGACAACCACATACTTGCCCCGTGATTGCCCTGTGACGGTTAAAACTCTTCCATTTTGGTCAGCAGGGGTGATCCAGGCAATCCCCATGTGAACAGTGCAAGCCTATGTAAATGTTCACAAATACAGTGGGTTTTCCCGCCTATTTATATTCACCCCACTAGGGCCATGAAAGTGACACCCCCTCTGGTGGATGTACCATGCTCCAAACTAGGATCTAGTGATAGATGACCTCTGGCATGTCTATCACATGGCTGGTACAATAAAACATAGAAATATGGGATGACGTCATTCCACGCTGGCTCCAGGCGTGCGTGCATTAAACTTTATTATGAACATTGTATGCACAGGAAATGGTCGTGTACCCAAGCCCCCACCTAGTCTATGTAATAGACTGTTGCGAAAGCCCTCGCATTGTGACCTCTAGGTTTTGACCAATCAGCGGGCGCTTTCGATATCGGGTCTTCAGTCATTCACCCATTGCGTGTCATAGAAATGGATAAAAAACCTGTGTCACACGCTCTGTATCATGTTACGTAAAATGCGCCCGGTTGTTGTATTACAAAACGCTGCATTCGAATTGACCAATCAAACCATTAGTCCTGATTTGGGAATGAAATGACGTCACGATTTAGTGAAGTCGACTCCGATTGGCTGGCGCGCGGCTTGCATATATCTGCATGTCTAGACATATCAGACGTTATACAGGAGACTTGGCTCCGTGGATAACGGGTGATACTCAGACTAGCCCCCACCTATGACATAATGAAACTGCTAGAATGGAGCAAATTTTACTAGCCTATATGGCAGACACAATAGGAGGGCGCTGTTTGATTTGAGTAAATGCAAAAGACTTTCAAATCAAACAGCGCCCTCCTATTGCGTCTGCCATATCTCAAATAGGCTAATAGTATAGACATGGCAAATCATCTGTAAATCCCCCCCCCCCCCTTTCTCTCAAAGTAAGTCTCATCCACAAAACGAACTCCACAAATGTCACTTACTTAGATGCTGCCTCTCTCTTGCTTCTTTCCATTTTCTTGAGTGCTGGATCGATGGCAAACTGGTAGAGGAGTATAAACACGACGTAAAACCAGAGGGGGGCGTAGTGCATGGCTGAATACACCTACACAGAATGAAAGGGAATAATTCCATGAAAAGTGGAGAAATGACGGATTCACAATAGAATGTGCCATCAAAAGTCTACTTGGAGAGCTTTTTTTTTCTACAGTACATTATAGGCAAAAGTTGACATCCAAAAGGCCAAATGTACAATGTGCTTTGTGCCTAGGCAGCCAAAACACAGGGAAAAATTGGCACATCTTCACTACACAATAAAGCACACACAGTCGTGTTTTGCATAACTCTCGAGGACAAGGCATTGTCTTTCCCTTCGTCCCTATAATATAACACAATATTCACAATAGAATGTGCCATCAAGCGTCTACTTGGGGAGCTTTTTTCTACGGTACAAAAGGTGACATCCAAAAGGCCAAATGTACAATATGTGCTTTGAGCCTAGGCAGCCAAAACACAGGGAGAAAAATGGCACATCTCCACCACACAATCAAGCACACACAGTCGTGTTTTACATAACTCTCGAGGACAAGGCATTGTCTTTCCCTTTGTCCCTATAATATAACACAATATTCACAATAGAAAGTGCCATCAAGAGTCTATTTGGGGAGCTTTTTTTCTACGGTACAAAAAGGCCAAATGTACAATGTGCTTTGTGCCTTGCCAGCCAAAACACAGGGAGAAAAATGGCACATCTCCACTACACAATCAAGCACACACAGTCGTGTTTTACATAACTCTCGAGGACAAGGCATTGTTTTTCCCTTTGTCCCTATAATATAACACAATATTCACAATAGAAAGTGCCATCAAGAGTCTATTTGGGTAGCTTTTTTTCTACGGTACAAAAAGTTGACATCCAAAAGGCCAAATGTACAATATGTGCTTTGTGCCTAGGCAGCCAAAACACAGGGAGAAAAATGGCACATCTTCACTACACAATCAAGCACACACAGTCGTGTTTTACATAACTCTCGAGGACAAGGCATTGTTTTTCCCTGTGTCCCTATATTATAACACTCTCCCAAAGACTAAGCACACAAACGTACAATCGAGGACCGTTTTTAACAAAAGATGAACTCTCGAGGACAACACAGAACCTGTTGGGAAAGATTGCCATATACGAAGTTCACTCAACACCCTGTGTACAAACCCTATGAGATTGGACTGAAAAATTCTAAGTGTTTTCTAAGAAAATGCTTGTATTTTCTCACTGCTCAAATTGACTTTGATGACATGAAATTGCTATCTGGGGGCTTGTTAGTCAATACAGAGGAAAATTAGTGAACTTCGTAAATGGAAATCTTTCCACCTGTTGTCCTTTTGTCTGTCTGTCCTCGGGGTGTATGTAATTCACGTTTAACCTTGCAATCTTTGTGTGGACATCAAAACAAAACAGGTCCACAGGATACAGGTTGTGGGAACCTTCTGTGGACTAAGCCAGGTCCACACAAGGTTTCCCCTCTCTGAAAAACAGGCTTAGATGCATTTTGGGGTTAGGTTTATCCATCGCGAAATGAAAAGGAACACTCAAGAAAATCTTGATAAAAAAATTGGGATGAAAAAGTGTTCACAGTACGAGTAAATTTTTTCTCCGTTTTTTTTTAACTACACGAAGACAAAGGAATGGCCACACTCAGTGTGTAAGGTAGGCCTGGATGTGTGTCTGTGTGTTTTTACAAGAGGGTACTTGTGGGTACTCGCAAAGAGGAAACAATGGTACCCAATACGTTGTTCTGTGTCTGATGGTACCCAACTAGGGAAAGTCTGTGTGAGTGTGTTCCCGAGTTGATCACCCGAGTAGCGGGTGATTGCTCGCAGAACAAGCGGCCGTTCGTCTCACAAAGCGGCAGGCCACGGGTTGGAAACACGCGACACCCACTTCGAGGCGGCAGGTGGTTTGGCCTCGTAATTAAATACAGGGTGGATCCAAAAAAAAAAGAAACCGAGATATTAATACTAATTGGAACAGAAATAGGGCACATGTGAATCAAAGGGAGATATCCTCTGTTAGGGTTGAATCTCCTCTTTAAAATGACACCCTGATCATGTCATTACATTCACGGTTGACTGAGCAGTGACCAATTTTATGAAAGGGTCTACATTACTTGTATTTAGAACATTGCGCCACTTTTCAATTGTGGTTTTTGTGGTGTCATTTGTCACAGAGTGAAAGGCTATGGTTGCCAATTAAGGCGGGTGGAAAAAAAAAAGAGATTTCACCATGAAAAGTTGTGCAAGTCTCTAAATAGACCCTTTCATAACATTGGTCACTGCTCAGTCAACCGTGAATTTAAAGACATGACCAGGGTGTCATTTTAAAGAGGAGATTCAACCCTAACAGAGGATATCTCCCTTTGATTCACGTGTGCCCTACTTCTCTTCCAATTAGCAATAATATCTCGGTTTCGGTTTTTTTTATCCACCCTGTATAAGTAATTTACTTTATATATCTGAGAAAGTGATTGGTTGCTGGTGAACAGGACTTCCAGACATAGGTTCACCTGAAAATAAACAATTGGCACTCCTTTAAATTTTTGCTTTGTCCCACTGTACTGCAAAATAGCAATTTCCCGGTGACTGGTCATATACAAAAGCTTGCAATGTTTTAATGACTTACTATGCGTGTTCTCCTCCATCGCAGCAGCACAAAGGGAATCAGTGCGTAGCTGAAGGTGAAGACATTCCACACCTTGAAGACTACAAGCAGGCAGATCTTGACCGGGGGTATCTCGGCAATCCGGGCCAAGGGTGGGTAGCGCTTGTTGATATCAACTACCTGAATTTGGAAGGAAAAAAAACAAAAAAGAAGTCAGCTTTAAGGGAATGTACATCATTGGCTTTTGCTGTAATTTTCAGAAATGGAGTATTTGAGGGGTTAGTATAATAGATCAAATATTGTTACACTGACATGTTTGAAGTTTTATGTTCCAAAATGCTGGAAAAACCAAGAAAAACAAAATTGTTCAAGTAGTCTGGTTCCCTGACTCCACTAAAGATGAAATGGATCAATTTATAGTTGCCAGAAAATTGTAAGGTAAGGGAACCAGTCTAGCTGGCCTGCACCCGTTCATGAACATGTATAAACCAATACCAAACAAAATTTGGACTGAAAAAGGTAAATTTGGAGCAGTAGTTGAAAAATAGTTAGGTTTTTCCAACGGTGGTCGGCTGACCACCGTTGGAAATGTATACAAATATACCATTTTCTTGAAAATGACTTCACACCAGGCGCCATAATTTTACAGTATGCTTTAGACTGTCATTTACCAACATCCTAGTAAGGTATTTCTTAAAAACTTGGTAGTCTTATTTTTCGATATTTGCAAATGTTGTATATTCCCTTTAATCTTGAAAAATGGACTGAAGAAATTCAGGAACCGATTACCACCCAAGTGAGCAGAGATTTCTTGGTGGTTTTGAATCGGCAACTTGCATTAGGTATGGCTCATGCTTACCGTGACATTTGAAATCAAGGCATTCTAGAGCATTCTCGAGTATTCTAGTACTGTTTCAAACAACATTTGCTTTTGCTGTAATTTTCAGAAATGGATAGATTTGGGAGTTAGTATTTTGTAGCTATTTGTTGCACTGACCTGTTTAAAGTTTTGTGTTCATAAGTGCTGGAAAACCAAGCAAAAAAAATGCTTTTCTTGTAGTCTGGTTCCCTGAGTCTGAACGATTTATGGACGTCTGGAGAACTGTCAGAGCAGTGAACCAGACATTAAGCTGGCTTGCAGCCATTTATGTATGTGTAACAGGTTGTAAAAAAAAAAACAAGGACCACCTAAATTTGGTAAACTGGGGGCAGTACTGGAGAAAAAAATCAGTTTCATCCAACAATGGTCTGCCATCGTTGGAATTGATACAAAGAGTCCACTTTTCATGAAAATGACAGCACACCAGGTGTCATTCTTTCACAGCATGCTTGAGACTATTATTCACCTACAGTCAATAAGGTATTTCATACTAATTTGGTCTTATTTCATACTAATTTGGTCTAATGATGGTCTTGTTATGTATTTGTGATGGACTTGTGACAGACTTGTGAAGACTTGTGAGCAGTGGCGGCACTACGAAAGGGGGGGGGGGGGTTCCCCCACCCCGTTTTCTCCCCAACACTTTATCAACAAATAGGTTATGTTTATATTCTTCGCTGCTAAGATTCATAACATGTAGACACATTTTGGATCAATGAAAGCATTATAAACATTGGTACTTTAGACAAAACCCGCCACACATGCATTGATACAGCTGTAGATAGTGTGCAGCCAACGTCTTTGTACATTTGTTATACATCTGTGATACACCATTCTGCACTTTGATACATTTCTCATTCATAAACATGACTACACCTCTAAGTTGCTCTAGTAACTTATTTCCAGACAATTGCCAATGGACATGTGCACATACACAGGCTTTAGTATTTAAAGTGTGCATCGGCACGATGATGTGGGTCATTTTATTTTGACCGCCCTCAACAAATATTTCCTTGTCCCCCAAGTGCCCCACCCCCCCCCCCAAAAAAAAAATAGTCTGATGTTGTGATGGACTTGTGATAGACTTGTAAGACTTGTGATTGACTTGACTTGACACTGCATAGAAACAAAACATTTCAAAGATGGACTGAATTGAATAAGGGAAACTTATTTCATTTAGTCCAGAATGTGTGCCAGTACATTTTCTTTTATTTTTAAAATGATGCCACACCTTAGCTTCAATGAAGAAAACAAGGAACTCCTGGGCGAAACCCATGTAGTAGCCGATGTACAGACCGTGCCAGACTGCCAGGAAGAACAGCGAGGCTGACTGGGAGATGAGACGATTGTTCAGGAACTTGAGTCTCTTGTAGATGTACCTGTTGGGGTAATCGGTATACTTACTATTGGGACAATTCAAAAATACCCCCTAGTCTCCCTCAAAAAAGTCAATTCCAATTCCATTACCTAGGTATGCAATGATGTTTTTAACTTGTAATGTTAAAGCTACAGTCCATCATTTGTAATTTGTGCATTTTGTTCGTTTGAAGCAACAAAAGAGTTCAAAATCTAATGAAGGATACTGAGCAACTAACCTGATGAAGTTTCAGCTAAGCTTCAGCTGTACATTCCAAGAAAAAACAGCATTCTAAGATCTCAATTTCAAATCAAAAGTTACTGAATCATGTTTTGAATTGTTTTGAATTGCAGCTATACGCAACATCGCGCACTGATCCGACGAATTATAACAACCGCGCGCGCATGTGCGTCGTTCCAATACTTGTGCGCGCTGCGCTGAATAACAAAACGAACTACTAATTTAAATTTTCCTACGGTGCTTCTTAAGAATCACCGTTGGAAAGGCCTTCTTTCGTTGATTACTTCAAAATGACAGCTTCCCAGAAAGAATAATTTCACAGGGAGTTTAGTCCCATTACTATCTTTCAACCAAGTTTGTTTTTCAACAATAATTACGCCAGTTACTTTTCGGATGGCTGCAAATGATGGACTATAGCTTTAAGGAAGGTGAACCAAACAGATAAAGAGCTTTTGATTTGAACCACATTCTTCGTCATATTCAGACTATTTTAGAGAGATCAGGAACCAGGTTTGTTCGTCTTTTTTGGTACCTTTGCGCACAGATTCTCATATGTTTACGGATGTATCGGTACATGCGCCTTCACAGTAGTGTTGTGCATCGGGTCGGGTTGACCAGGCCAAACCGACCAGAAACATTATAGATATAAACCGAATCCGAACCGAAACCGATCTGAACTCCTGGAAACCGACCCGACCCAACCCGACAAAATTTCAAGGAAAACCGACCCGAACCGACCCCCCAAAAAACCTAAATATCTAGCCCGGGCAACTGTGTCCACTTTTTGTGCCTGAACTTACCTGAACTTTTTATAGAGTGAACCTATATATCACAAGATAATTATTTCATTAAATTCTGGCAACTTCACACTTTGTTATCAACGCATACTGAAAATCAAAAAATCTATGCCTTGAAGCATAACTTCCGTAATGGTTGTTTAAAGCACTTATAGCTCATTAATTAATTCAGCTAATATTGCATTATCCATGTCATGTTGTAAATTTTCGTTTCACTGCAAGTATATTACTTAGTGTCCATTTGGTTTTAGATTCTGAATGTAATGTGTATAATGATGGAAGTACCCATACAAATCGTCAAAGTCACTACGAACTGCGCGAGTGCGCTGCACGCGCGCTTTGTTACAGAACCGGGATATTTTGGGTTTCACGAACTGACATCCTCCACGGTGCGGCACTTTTAGGGTGCACCCCGTACATTTTCGTTTTCACGAACTGACACCCAAGTATGATGCGGCAATACAGAACAAAGAAAAACGGTTTGAAAGGTTTGACACGAATTTAACCTATCCGTGCACTTGTGTGATTATACAAACTTTTAATTAAAAAGCGTTTTAATTGTTAAAATTAAGATCAGTTTCAGTTCTTGAAACCGAAAATGCACGGGGTGCGCTCTAAAAGTGCCGCACTGTGGAGGATGTCAGTTCGTGAAACCCAAAATATCCCGGTTCTGTAAATACGCGCGTGCAGCCCACTCACGGACGCGTGAGAGTCAGTTCTTGGTGACGGCGACGAAATGAACCAGCAGAAAACACAAGCAAATGAGCCAACAATCCTCTACTTTTCTACACCCACCTTGAGAGCCAAGTGTTAATAGTGATGTTATGTGACTGGACAAGATCCCTGCCATTCGTCGCCAGCTCAAACACCAGTGGCCTGAAGTTAACGCAGCCGTCCCACAATGCATTGCCATTCTCGTCTCGTCCGTTGTAGGCCAGGCCGCTCATGATGCAAACGCCCTCCTGCGGATCAGCAAGGGAGAGATAACCGACAATTAACCCTAACCGGGTAATCCTTACTTTTAGGACCCCGTTCCTATATAGGAAGGGAAAGACTCACCGAAACAGTTGGGTAAATGACACTCAAAATTGACATTCTGATACTTCTTGGCACATCTGAACAATTGGCAATGACACCTTCTTGAATATCAGCAAGTTTAATTTTGTGGAAAGAGGGCAGGGCTTTGATTTATGAGGGAAATTCAGGGGTAAAAGACAACGATGACAACCAGAAAACAGACTCAAAAACCAAGATGGCAAACGTGAAAGCTCAATGCAATGAAAGCTCGTTGCTGATTGGCTGATAAAAAATAAACATCTTATTTATCTTTTTGAGCAGCCAATCAGCATCGGGCTTTCATTATGTAGGGCTTTCACTGTGTTGTGAGAACTACAACATGCACGTCTGACTGCGAAAAAGGTAGGAAAGTCACATTTTCTTTGAAAGTGCTTTCAAAATTACAACTAACATGAGTTTATATGAAGAAAAAAGACTGCTTTAGCCTGCAAAAGTCACTTTGGTACTGGACAGACATCTGCAAAAGTCAGTTTTGAACAGAACTTGTAAAAAATAGAGGTGTCCTAAAAGTAAGGATTACCCCTAACCTTCCCAAATCCTCCGAAATCCTCTTCGGAAAATGGAGGATTTTGCAGGATTGAGGCTTCATGGCAAAAAGGTGTGGCTGATTTCGGAGGATGCACTTTGTCAAGGTCTTGGGCCGGACCTTTTGCTCAGCCATGCATAAATATAGGCGTTGATTATACTTGAAATCCTCTGCACTGCTCCAGGATGTCAATGGATCTGCCTCAACATATGTGATGCAATCAGGCTAAATGAGCCGTTTGTCGGGAATTTTCATTTGGAGATTCGGGCCAAAATAGGGCCACTTCATCACATCATTTCATCATTTTTCTTGGTGTTCCAACTTTCATAATTTTTGAATAACAGATGATTCCAGCACGCGGTTTTCACAGCAGTAATGCTGAGATTTTTTTTTTTCAAATCTGTAAAAAAAAAATGACCAGGGCCGACAAACGACTCATTTAGCTTGATCGCATCACATATTGACAGTGATTGCCGGAGGATTTTGAAGGATTGGGGCAGTGGTCACCCCTCCAAGGACCACATTCAAGAAACAACGGAGGATTTTGCAGGATTGAGGCTGTGTTCAATCTTTGCACGGAGGCAGTTGGAGGATTTTGCGGGATTGAGGTTACATCCTAGCAAAGATGCCTCTCCCTGTGTTATTTCCAATTGTTCAAACTTTTTTTTATTTAGCTTTCTTTAACATTATAAAATAATATCGACTCTTTGAGGAGTTATTGAAATTAATCAGATCTCCGAACATTTGTGACCTGTTCTGTCAAAAGCAGACGCTTCTGGGCAGAGGATGAAATTGAGATAGGGCCAAAAAACGATGTGGTGGTGATTTTTTTTCGATTTTCTAATTTTTGCATATTTGTAATCCTGAACATGTCTAAAATATACTATAAAAGTTTGAAACCCTAATTTGAACTCTAAATATGGTATTTTTGATGATTTGTTGAGGTATATCAGTTAAAGAAATTACTGTTTTGTGACATTCGTGGCCATTTTCTCCGTTTTCTACTTTTCGACACAATGAACTTCAAAATAGCATAACTTTGCCAAGGAATTACAGGTTTCAAAAATTAAACCACCTATTAAAAGGGAAATGTACATATTTTAACAGTATGCACAAATCTCATTTTGGACTATATGCCCAGAAAAGTCTGATTTTGAAAGAACAGGTCACATTTAGTGATGACATAATACTTTACAGATTTCAAGTGGCCCGGAAATAATTCAACCAGATATTTTTTTGCAGTGGAGATGCAAAATCAATCCTCAAAAAAAAAAAATTGTTTAGTGGGTTGCACATGCCAACAATGGAAAAGGTACTTTTTCAATCAAATAGAACACACAAATTGAAAATGGGAGAAAAAATACTTATTTTCTTATTGTGACCAGATAATTTGCTTACCGCCAACAGAAAGATGACACTGTACTTGAAGAGGACACATTTGCCCCATGCCATCACCACCAACACTTGAAACGGGAAAGACAAACTCTGCGAGAGCAAAACAATCAAATGATAAAATAAACTGGTTTCCCACGTTTACATGATAAAAAAAAATTTAGCATGAGGCGATAGCAAGAAGGTGTTTAGAATTGTGTTTACTCGCTGAACACATTTTTGTAGGCCTGGCAAATATCCCAGTACAGAGGCAATTAGGCTACATTTGTCCCGATGCCTAAAATTGAAAACTCGGTCCCATGGTCAATTTGACCTCTCTTGAAAAATTACTCGTAACTCTGTCAAAAATTATCGGATTTGGACGCATAATGTTTCATTTTGAAGTGGAAAGGCGTATCTTTCAAACCATACCTATATTATTTATGTTGGTTTAAAGGGAACATACAACATTTGCAAACATCACAAAACGATATGATCAAATTATCACGAAATACCTAACTGGATTGTTAGGGAGAGACAGTCTAAAGCATCCTGTAAAATCGTGGCTGCTGGTGTGTTGACATTTTCAAGAAAAATGTTATTTTTCCAACGCTGGTCGGCTGACCAGCGTTGGAGAAAACTGGCTTTCTTTCAAAAACTGCTCCTAATTTTCCTAATTAGTTATTCCGCATTTTATTTTCAAGTGATTACACACCTGTGAAGGGGTACAAGCCTTTTAGACTGATTCTCTGACCTTACAATACCCGGAAGTCTATAAATTGCTCCGATTCATCTTAAGTGGGGTCAGGGAACCAGACTACAAGAAAATGATTTGTTTTCTTGGTTTTTCCAGCATCTACAAGCCCAAAACGTGGAACGAGTCATTTTAACAACTTTTGCTATAACATACTGATCCTCCAAATTCATTTATTTCTGAAAATTGCAGCAAAAGTAAATGTTGTACATTCCCTTTAATATTCTATGTCATGTATGTCTGGCTTTCCATTATATGTGACAGGCTCCACAAAAAAGGGTATTATGTTGCAAAAAAGAGTGAAATTGAGTTATATACATGGTTGGAAAGCCCACAATGTAAAGCTTTCATTTTGTATATAATAGAGCTCCATAGCCCCTCCCGTTCTGGAGACATGACGTATTTGCATATTAATTACTTCCTTGGAGTTTGAATTACACAGCTGAGAAAACAGGCTTTGAAATAGCTGGCTTTGTTGTAGAACAACAGAACGATGCATACAAAATGGTTGTTTTTTTTCCACTTTGTTCATCAAAATCAACATTTCTGTAAATGAAACCTGAAACTCTAGGTGTTATAAAAAGAAGTCATTCATGACAAAAATAAAAATCATATTTTGACAAAATTTTCACCCTCTCAATGTTGAGCGGGCCATTACACAATAATGCACAGCGCGGCTTAAAGAGGTTGTGGAATGCTCGAAGACATTTCCGTCATTTTTCGGGTATATGTACCGGTAGCCTAAGGTGTGATGAAATAAAAACGACTATTGTTTCTGTCATAAAATGAGTACAAAAGGTACTTTTGAGAGCTGTTTTTCAAGTCCTGTCATGCCTGTTTCGACCCGAACGTGCAATTTGTGTAAAAGTCGTCGTTGCGGGCAGCAAACAAAACACAGTAAATCGTGACATAATAAACAGGACTCCCGATGCAGAGTAGCATAAACGAGTCCTGTTTATTACGTCACGATTTACTGTGTTTTGTTTGCTGCCCGCAATGACGACTTTTACACAAATTGCACGTTCGGGTCGAAACAGGACCTGAAAAATAGCTCTCAAAAGTAACCTTTGTACTCATTTCATGACAGAAACAATAGTCGTTTTTATTTCATCACACCTTAGGCTACATATACCCAAAAAATGACGGAAATGTCTTCGAGCATTCCACAACCTCTTTAATACTTTTTTGTGGAGCCAGTCACATTTTGTTTGCATGTTCTTTATACAACACTGTTTATTTGTTTAGAATCTGCCACTTACTGCGAATTCGGAAGACAAGATGTAGGCATTGGTGAAGATAGGAGACAACGACGTGTACAGCACAATGAACACGCAGCTCACGCCAAGTTTCTGGAATGCCGGCTTGACGCTATCGGGCGGCAGCCCCCGGTCGTTGTCCGTTAATTTGCCCGCCGTGAAATCCAGGTAGGTCCGGAGGGGGAATACGGGCGGGGAGAAACAGCCGCCGAGGAAGTAGGCGTAACTACTGAACTCCAGGAGTGAGGGCGCTGTTTTGAGACGCAACTCCTTCTGTTCTTGACTCAGTTTCTCCTGCAAGGATTGTTTTAATGCAGTCCTTGAATTGTACAAATCACAGTCAAATCACAAGTCAATCACAAATCAACCACAGGTTATCACAAGTCAAACCTGAGTTGATCACGAGTCAATCTCAAGTCAACCACAGGTCAATCACAAGTCAATCTAAGTCAAATCACAAGTCAATCATAAGTCAATCATTAGTCAATCATGCTTCCAACCACAAAACAATCAAAAGTTAAACACTAGTCAACCACAAGTCAATCACAAGTCAATCACAAGTCAATCACAAGTCAATCATAAGTCAATCATTCGTCAATCATTAGTCAATCATGCTTCCAACCACAAGTCCATCACAAGTTAAACACTAGTCAACCACACATGCCACAAGTCAATCACAAGTCCATCACAAGTCCATCACAAGTCCATCACAAGTCAATCACAAGTCAATCACAAGTCAATCACAAGTCAATCACAAGTCAATCACAAGTCAACCACAAGTTAAACACTAGTCAACCACAAGTCAATCACAAGTCAGTCACAAGTCAGTCACAAGTCAGTCACAAGTCAACCACAAGTCAATCACAAGTCAATCACAAGTCAATCACAAGTCAATCCCAAGTCAATCACAAGTCAAATCACAAGTCAATCACAAGTCAATCACAAGTCAATCACAAGGCAATCACAAGGCAAATCGCAAGTCAAATTTCACATCAAATTCAAGAAACGAGGGATGAACAATGAACAACTACTTCTAAATAGCATGCCGCTTACAATCCATCATTTGCAGCTATCCAAAAAGTAACTGACATAATTGTTGTTGAAAAGCATATATAGGCCTAAAAGATAGAAATGGGACTAAACTCCCTGTGAAATTATTCTTTCTGGCAAGCTGTCATTTTGAAGAAATCAGTAAACAAGGCCATTCCAACGATGCCTCTAAAGACACTTTCTTGGAAATTTCCATTAGTAGTTCGTTTTTAATTCGGCGAAGCGTACGCAAGCGCGTGGTTGCTATAATAATTCGTCGGTTCGGTGCACTACATCACGTAGCTGCAAGGGGCTCAGTGAGAATGTGTCTCGGACGTTGAATTCAGGCCCAATTCAAAACCTGACTCAGCAACTTTTGATTTGAAATCGAGATCCTGGAATATTGTTTTCTCAGAATATACAGCTGAAGCTGAGCTGAAACTTTATCAGGTTGTTTAGCACCCTTCTTTGGATTTTGAGCAGTTTTGTTGAGCTCAAACGAAAATAATGCACGAGTTACAAATGATGGACGCTACCTTTCAGACTACATGATCTGTGATTGACTTATGATGAAGTAGTGAGGAATTCACTACAGATACTCTACTACGAGCAGGAGAAATACGTGTACAACTCAGATATCAAAATATTGTCTCTTTAATTTTGGGGCATTTATTTTCATTTTGCATCTAATAAATAGAATTGAGTCTTAAAAATGTTCGAGTGTTCAAAGACTTGAATTTTCAACACAGCCGTTCTGTTGCCAAACAAAGAAAAACTGTTTAAAGATATAGTCCATCATTTGTAATTTGTGCATTTTGTTCGTTTGAAGCAACAAAAGTGCTCAAAGTCTAATGAAGGATACTGAACAACTAACCTGATGAAGTTTCAGCTCAGCTTCAGCTGTATATTCCGAGAAAAACAGCATTCTAGGATCTCAATTTCAAATCAAAAGTTGCTGAATCATGTTTTGAATTGTTTTGAATTGCAGCTATACGCGATGTCGCGCACTGATCCGACGAATTATAGCAACCGCGCGTGCCTGTGCGTCGTGCCAACGCTTGCGCGCGCTGCGCGTGCCGAATAACAAAACGAACTACTAATTTAAATTTTCCTACGGTGCTTCTTAAGAATCACCGTTGGAAAGGCCTTCTATCGTTGATTACTTCAAAATGATAGCTTGCCAGAAAGATTAATTTCACAGGCAGTTTAGTCCACTTACTATCTTTCAACCAAGTTTGTTTTTCAACAATAATTACGCCAGTTTCTTTTTCGGATGGCTGCAAATGATGGACTATAGCTTTAACTGCAAATGGCTTACAGCTTAGCTCAAGCATTGGCCAAGCCCCAAAACATTAATTGTTGCCAACGGCTGCGGCTACTCACTGTAGCATTCCAACTGCAAAATTTTAAAACCGTAGCCAAAAAAACACTAAATTCCGACTCAGTCCTTTACCTCCTTCCTCTGGCCGTCGTAAAGGTCAAAGGCCGTCCCGATCATTTTGAAGATCAGGATGCAGTGAGGCGTGGTCCAGATCAGATCGTAGCCGTCAGTGGAAAACAGGGCGTAGGCGGTCAAAAGATACCCCTGGAGACAAAACGTGAAAAGTGCAAATATGAGTACAATTCTGAAGAATCCTACGAACAATTACCCTCAAACAGCGACAAAAAAAGTGATGTTTTTGTGCACCTGGCACCCATGCTAAGATACCACCTGTTTGCATAACAGTGATGTGGAAACCTGAACCGAAACCGAAACCGACTTTGAGTCGGTTTTGCGTTTCCGTTGGGTTGGCTCGGGTCGGTTAAGCCGTTTTGGAAAAACCCGAAATAACCCGAAATAACCCGAAATAAACCGGAAACAAGGTGGTTCTCGAACCACGCAACTCGCCTGTTTTCTTTTCCATTTTTTTTGATAGATGACCTTTGACCTTGTTTGTGACCTTTGACCTTGGTTTGTGACCTTTGTCGCATCTATGACCCAAAGTTTGGTGCCAATTGGACTTCAACTGAAGGGAGAGTGACTTTGTTTCTGCATTCAATAGGGGACGTTGAACAATAGAGGACAATAGGGTCTCAAAATCCCAAGAGGTCCCCAATTGGATTCGTGCACAAAACATATGGGAGGTCTTCCCGACAAGTTAGAGTACAAACAAAAAGGGTCCGCTCATAAGTCCGAAGCCTCGTAAGTCAGAAGCCTCATAAGTCCGAAGCCTTGTAAGTCAGAAGCCTCATAAGTCAGAAGCCTCATAAGTCTGAAGCCTCGTAAGTCAGAAGCCTCATAAGTCCGAAGCCTCGTAAGTCAGAAGCCTCATAGGTCCGACGCCTCATAAGTCCGACGCCTCATAGGTCTGATGCCTCATAGGTCTGACGCCTCATAGCTCTGTCGCCTCGTAAATCCGACTAAATAGACGACTTGTTTTTTCCGACGTCAGACTTATGAGGCGTCAGACTTATGAGGCGTCGGACCTTTGAGGCAGAATAAATCAATTGTATGTCTCATAAGTCCGACGCCTCATAAGTCCGAAATTTATGAGGCGTCGGACCTATGAGGCGTCGGACTTATGATACGGTGTAGCGTGAATTTACGTTTCTATGAAATTCGGACTCATTGGTAATACCGCGCATGCGTAAGTATGGTAATTAGGAAAGTGACCGGTCACGTGAGAGGGATTAACCAATAATAGGGAGAAGGGGTCCGATTTTCATAGGAGTCGGATTTTCATGTGACAACGGCCCCAAACAAAAGAGGGACCCCGATTGCAGGCAAATACACACTTGGGTGGGAGTGTGGAGTTGGGGTGGGAAGAGGGGAATAACTCAACAGAACTCCTGGTACCAACGGTGGTAACACTACTCACCATGTTGAATATGAATGACAAAGCGACCATCAGCTGGGTACCGCCCATCGTGACCAGCAGGGCATAGTTGACCACAATGGAGATTGCTGAATGGATGACATCGTATCCTGAATAACATGAATATATATATATGTAAATTACATGAATATACGAATAAATTAAGAGCAGACCAGCAAGGGTGCACCAGTGCAAGATAGATGGTAACGTGTGAGTACAGCGTGCATGTGAGAAAACAAATGTGAAAAACGGATATGAAATATTTCACATTCCAGTGAGGCACGACTTGCATGACTTGGGCATTCCTTAAATTAATGTAGGATGAAAACAGCAACGGATGAGATGCCGGTAGTCAATGCATATATTCCTAGTTGTGCCAAATCAAATTGTGTGTTTACGGTAACGCTCTAAAATAATCCAGGTACTGATAGGTAATGATGTGCAACGGGTCGGGTTGACCAGGCCAAACCGACCCGAAACATTAGAGATATAAACCGAATCTGAACAGAAACCGATCTTAACTCACTCAAGCTGACCCGACCCGACCCGACCCGACAAAAAATAAGGTAAAGCCAAATTGTGTGTTTACGGTGACGCTCTAAAATTATCCAGGTACTGATAGATAATGATGTGCACCGGTTCGGTTGACCAAGTCAAACCGACCCGAAACATTAGAGATATAAACCAAATCCGAACCGAAACCGATCTTAACTCACTCAAGCCGACCCGAACCCGACCCGACAAAAAATAAGGTAAAGCCGAGCCAAAAAAAAAAAACCCAAAAAAACGAATACCTGGCTTCCGCTTGGACAAAGTGATCAATTTTTCGTGCCTACCCTCACCCACGTGACATGAATTCTTTTGCAAAACAATCGTCTCTCTCTCTGTCATACTCAGTGGGTTGATCGAGAGTAACTCCGCTTATTAATCAAACGCATGGTCACTACGCGGTATGAAAACTGTTACAATCTATTTCACTGTCAGTCCCGATCCGACTGGAGAAATTAACACCGTGGGAACTTGATAGTGCGCTTGGTGGCCACACCACACAATGGGCTGCCGTCACAGTGACTGTCTATTATTATATTGCATCACCTGAATTTCTCAACTGTTTATTCAGTTTATTTCGATTTATTTCGGTTTTTCAAAAGATGGCTAAACCGACCCGACCCGACCCAACTGAAAAGATGGACAAACTGACTTAACCCGACCCGAAGTCGGTTTCGGGTCGGGTCGGTTTCAGTTTCGGGTCGGGTCGGTTTCAGTTTCGGATCGGGTCGGTTTCAGTTTCGGATCGGGTCGGTTTCAGTTTTGGGTCGGGTCGGTTTCAGTTTTGGGTCGGGTCAGTTTCAGTTTCGGGTCGGGTCGGTTTCAGTTTCGGGTCGGGTTTGCACATCATTACTGGTAGGTACCGCTACAATGTTGGTGGGAAATATGTGCATATAGTTTGGGGACTTAGTCCAGAAGGCCTGGCGTGACTAAATATTGATGGAGTACATGTACGATGGACTTGGGCCTAAATAATGGCCTGAAGCAGTGCTAGGGCTATCCGATATGTCTAGCTTCCTGTACAGCTATTGAGATACAAACCGTACATGTAGCATGTCCATAAATGTCAACCAGTGCGTCAGTGGTGGATTTCATTCTGTCATGTACAGTTTTGTATTGGACACACAGTGATTGATGGATTTCAATGGAAGTGGTCCAGTTCCTAGTAAAAGACGGAACTGCAAAGAGGGAATTTCAACATTTTAAAATTCTCAGCAATAACAAGTTTTGAGGTTGACAATTTAAAGCTATAATCCATCATTTGCAGCCATCCGAAAAAGTAACTGGCGTATTATTGTTGAAAAACATACTTGGTTGAAAGATAGTAAGTGGACTAAACTCCCTGTGAAATTAATCTTTCTGACAAGCTATCATTTTGAAGTAATCAACGAAAGAAGGGCTTTCCAACGGTGCGTCTTAAGACGCACCGAAGGAAAATTTAAATTAGTAGTTCGTTTTGTTATTCGGCGCAGCGCGCGCAAGCATTGGCACGACGCTCACGCGTGCGCGGTTGCTATAATTCGTCGGATCAGTGCGCGACATCGCGTATAGCTGCAATTCAAAGCAATTCAAAACATTATTCAGCATCTTTTGATTTGAAATTGAGATCCTAGAATGCTGTTTTTCTCGGAATATACCGGTACAGCTGAAGCTGAACTGAAACTTCATCAGGTTAGTTGTTCAGTATCCTTCATTAGATTTTGAACACTTTTGTTGCTTCAAACGGACAAAATGCACAAATTACAAATGATGGACTATATCTTTGAGCGCAAAAAATACAGGTACCTATACAGGTCAGGTTAGCATAAACACACATTTGTTTTTGGCCTCACTTAAATAAGGTGCAGTTTATAGTGCGTAACGAATGATTTCATGAATAATTTAGCATTACCAGCAGAAATACTTGATCAGCATGGAGGAGGTAGAATGAATGGCAGCACACAACACATGCATACGAGTATGTGAAAAGTTAACGAGATCCCACGATCACCTGATGGGAAAAATAGATCACTCTAAGGGTTAAGTGTCAATGCAAACAGATTAAAACCCACAGCAAAGCAATACCCTATAGACACAATGAGTTAATAATACAGGGTGAGTGAAAAAAATGAAACCCAAATATCGGGACTATTGTTTTAGTGAAGTTCTGCATGTAGCACTTTGAAAATATAGGATATGAAAGCCCAATTAATAAGCTTTCTTGTAGTACAAGAATCATTCAAATCACTTATGCACTTTTTAAGTTATGGAATTTTAAACGCAACCACTGTTTTAAAGTTCTGTCCACAGATCACAAAAAAGGTGTGCGTTCTTTCAGCAAAATGAAAACAATTCACACACATCCCTATGTGATTTGTTTTCGTTTGCTGAAAGAACACTGAACTTTTTTGTGATCCGTGGACAGAACCTTAAAACGGTGGTTGTGTTTAAAATTCCGTAACTTGAAAAGTGATTTGAATGATTCTTATACTAACAGAAAGCCTATGAATTGGGCTTTTGCATCCTAGATTTTGAAAGTGCTACTTGTAGAACTTCACTAAAACAATGGTCACGACATTTCGGTTTCGTTTTTTTTTACTCACCCTGTATATACAATGAGTTAATAATATTTCAAGGAGAGACAATTAAGTATAAGATTAACGGATCAGAGAATGGTTGTTAGCAAGGGGAAAAGGCAGCTCAGTTAAAGATACATGTAGAGTAGATCATTTGCAGCTATCCAAAAAGTAACTGACCAAATTATTGTTAAAAAGCTTACACGGTTTAAAGATAGAAGTGACACTAAACTACATGTACCTGTAAAAATATATTCCTTTATGTGAACACAAATAATTTTAAAACTGTTTTAACTCTAACTCCCTAGGCCTTTTCGCAAGGATGTAGCCTCAATCCTGCAAAATGCTCTAATTGGCCTCATGAAAAAATAGCATAGCCTCAATCTTGCAAATTCCTCCATTATTTCTTGAATATGGTCCATATTTCTTGAGGGATGACCACTGCCTGAATCCTGCAAAATCCACGACAGTGAGTGTCAATCATGTTGAGGCTTGGCCAGTGACATCCTGGAGCAGTACGGAGGATTTCAAGCATAATCCAGGCCTATATTTGTTTATGCATGGCTGAGCAAAAACAACACAAGGTCCGGCCCAAGACCTTGACAAAGTGCATCCTACGAAATCAGTAACGCACTTTTGCCATGTAACCTCAATCCTCCAAATTCCTCTACTTTGGCAAAGAGGATTTTGAAGGATTCAGGGCGGTTGGGGTTAAATATCAAACCAATACTCGCCAGGGATAAAGTTCAGATTCCAAGCTTTGAAATGGTATCAGTACGTGTTTCCGCGCCGACGCTTAAAGGTAGAGTCCATCATTTGCAGCCATCCGAAAAGTAACTGGCGTAATCATTGTTGAAAAACAAACTTGGTTGAAAGATAGTAAGGGAACTAAACTCCCTGTGAAATTATTCTTTCTGGGAAGCTGTCATTTTGAAGTAATCAACGAAAGAAGGCATTTCCAACGGTGATTCTTAAGAAGCACCGTAGGAAAATTTAAATTAGTAGTTCGTTTTGTTATTCAGCGCAGCGCGCACAAGTATTGGAACGATGCACACGCGCGCGCGGTTGTTATAATTCGTCGGATCAGTGCGCGACGTCGCGTATAGCTGCAATTCAAAACATGATTCGGTAACTTTTGATTTGAAATTGAGATCTTAGAATGCTGTTTTTCTCGGAATGTACAGCTGAAGCTTAGCTGAAACTTTATCAGGTTAGTTGCTTAGTATCCTTCATTGGATTTTGAACTCTTTTGTTGCTTCAAACGAACAAAATGCACAAATTACAAATGATGGACTGTAGCTTTAAGCCTCGCAAACAAAAGTTGCGGTATTTTGGGACGCGCTGGATATACATGTATGCCATAAAGCCAGGGTTCACACCCCAAGTCGCGATGCTGGTAACATTAGCAATGCTGCAAACCGGGAAATAGCTCAGTTGGTAGAGCACCGGAATGACAATCCGGAGGTCCTTGGTTCAGACCCCGCTCCAGTCAATTTCTTTGGTCACTTACATGTATTAGGGCTGTCCATACAGGGTGAGACCAAAAAAATAAAACCCAAATGTCGGGACTATTGTTTGTAGTGAAGTTCTGCATGTAGCACTTTCAAAATCTAGGATATAAAAGCCCAATTCATAAAAATTTCTTTTAGTAGTACAAGAATCATTCAAATCACTCAAGTACTTTTCAAGTTATGGAATTTTAAACACAACCACTGTTTTAAAGTTCTGTCCACGAATCACACAAAAGGTGTGCGTTCTTTCAGCAAAACGAAAACAATTAAACACATCCCTATGTGATTTGTTTTTGTTTTGCTGAAAGAACACTTACCGTTTTTTGATCCGTGGACAGAACTTTAAAATAGAGGTTGTGTATAAAAAGTCTGTAACTTGAAAAGTACATGAGTGATTTGAATGATTCTTGTACTAACAGAAAGCTTATGAATTGGGCTTTTATATCCTAGATTTTGAAAGTGCTACATTTAGAACTTCACTAAAACAATGGTCCC